TCCCATAATCATAGAAGGCAATTAATATGGGACGGAGGAAGTAGATGAATGAAGACCTGTGGGTCTTACGCTTGCATATAGCAGTGTTTCATGCAAATAACAAATAGATATCCGCGTACGCAATTTGCCTGGGACGGATAGATTTTGGATATGTGAATTTACTCTTGCTCATAACAACGCATTATGGCCTACTTGCAATATGAGAATTAAGGAATGGTCCAGCCGGCGTGTCTGACGCAGTCGCTCAGCAAAGTTGACCTGGTCGTTCGCAGTCAACGAGGCTGCGCCTCCATCGAGTCCTTGCTTCCACAGCTAAATAGCTCCCAACCAGCCCTGCCTTCCCAAACCTCAACACTCTTCTGACACAGAAGACACAGAAGACCATGTCTAAGAACTTCACAGGTAGCGCCCGGTCAGAGTGCTCCCCTTTGACTACGTCATCAGAATGGTCTGCAGCCTCGCGCTAGCCGCTAACGGATTTGCGCCTTGCTTGCCGCGAAGCCAACCAGTACGAGTATGGGTTTTTGCCTCACAAGCTGGGAAGCTGGGAGGTGCCGGCGGAGATCCAGGTGCTCACCACGCCGAGGTCTTCATACCAACCTCCGGGTCAGGCTCCCCGGGAGTTGGGAATCCTGCCACCCTGGTGTGATTGCCTCCCCTGGGGCAAGAGAAAGGAGTGCATCTCCATGGGAATTGTGCGCGGAGAGTGTGTGAGCATTTTAGTTGGCGCTGTTGCCAGAAGGTCGCTAAAAAACGGCGTGTTGACACAACTGTGGAATTTTGGACCATCCGATTTGGTCAAATCAATGTCAGAGAGTCTTAGCAGAATGCGCAGTGCTAGTGTTGCTCATCATCATCATTCATTTTTGCACAACAACGCAATGAAGTAGCCGTCAGCTTCTTATTTTGCCCGCGGCAAAGCAGTGTCTGTGATCAGTTCATTAAAATCTATCTGCCAAATTTTTAGCTCCTAATGCCAAGAAATGATTGTCGATGATAATAAATCAAATGAAGTGTCCTCGCCATTTGGCTAGTATTTCTCTCTGGACTAGGCTCGTGAAAAGGAGCCTAGACGTTTTCGGCATTGCATCGAACACAGATATCGCCATGCTCTCCAACATTCTTCGCAGCTTCAACATCTTTGATCCTTTGATCGGTGATGCATTGCAGCCGAAATGCCAAGAATCCAGATTCGGAACGCTGAGGCGAAAGAAGGATTCCGGGAAGACTCAATTTATTGTTGATAGCAGGGGACACATGAAAGAAGGTCAGACCGGTGCCATGCCACCGGCACACAATGCGGGCAGAAACTTTTTTTCTAGCACTATTACTTGCCATGTAAACATCCTGACCAATTTTTGGTGCGTGTTAGATGTAACATTGACTGAGACTACTGCTGTTGTTGCCAGAACGAGTCAGAAACCAATTTCTGACGCGTTGAATGGACGAAATGACGACATCACTTGTAATCCCCGCCGTGTTTGGGAATCGTATTCGCGTGCAAGGAAATGCTCTCAAACGATGCCACCAGCAGCTGAAACAGTGCGAGGTGGTGCTCCGTGTGCGATGAGAGTCCCATACTTGTCGCGATATATGTCCACACATATCGTTCTGCTTGCATAGCTGTTGAACGGTAGACACCCGCTCCCCGGTCAGAGCGGACAATCACAGAATTTGATGCACCCGTCTTGCCGATATCGCAGTGAAACTGTGGAGAAAATCTAGTCAAAATACTGCTCCGCTGTATTGACTACCCAGCCGCAAATGCTGCCACGGTCACAAACCATGTCCTCTTCAATGTGTTGCACGTGCCTGATGCAAATTTTTGATCGCCTTTATTAACGCGATCTATATAGAGTCAGTATATATATGTACTGACAGTATATTGCACAGTGACTTGCCTTCGATTGATCCTGATTGGCGGGGTGAATTACGCCTTCCATTTCTCCAGAAACTGATTCTGTCACCACAATCATCTGGCCAGGCTCATGATGTAGCCATAGGACATATTTGACCCCGTCACTCTGCTGCACGGTGCATTTCTCAACATTCAGATAACGTGGCGTGGCAACTTTGGGCATAACAAATAATGATATATTAATGAATTGATACAGGTGTGAAGAAGATCATGAACGCTTTCGACCACAATCTTCCCATATACAAGTCTTCCTCTGCCAGATGGCCCAAGGTCAGAATTCCGAAACCAGAGGGGATTTAATCATTTTAGCATGGTGATTGAAATATGCACCAAGCTACATTGATGAAAATTAGCTTCTCGCCCGCACACGAATGAAGCCCATCCCTAGCGTTGAAGTTCTCAGCATATCGGCAAGCAAAATGATCTGAATTTTGAAGGCCACGGGGGCATTGGACGTAAAATTGACTCGCTCGAATCGTTGGCTGTGCTAATATGTGAACTGGTCTTCTGGCCGTTTTCCAGCTGCACCAGCAACCTGAGCGCTAAAAGCGACCCCAGCCGGCTATCTACTGTGCGCGTAATACTACAGGAACCAAAAGATTAACAACCATCAGCAGTGGACCAGGGATGCATCATATGACAGTAATCTTCACCGGCTCCTTGCCCATGATGTTGCTAGTACTGATGTTTATGGTATCGCCATCAGTATAGGAAACTGATAAAATAGCAACAATGCGACGTTTTATTCGGCATCGTCAACACTTGGGAATTGTGGTAACAATTAGTCAAGGAGTTTTTGATTAGAGAGGCACGGGTGGACGCATCGCATGCTCCAAGTACTGTGAGCAGGCACTATCGGCAGCCAGAATAGTTTCCAGTAGCTCCTTCCTTGTCGGCTTGGGCCCTCTGGTGTACCAGCTGCGTTTGAATGCAGTACAAGCAGTTCTCTGGACTCTTGGCCTCAGTTTGAGAGGGATTGAAGATTTGCGCTTGAAGATTTCGTGTCGGTGCCTGCCAATGACGTTTTTTTCTCAATGAAGCAGCTCACCTTCTTAATTTGGGTTTTTACAACCTCCCACATAATAACGTAACGCTTGGCCTTCTTTAATCGAGAAAGCAATGAAGACAAAAATGATTTTTTAATGATTCTTTTGTAGAGAAACGTCGAAATTGAAAACAACGCTCTGAGAAACAAATGCGCAGGAAAAAGCGTAATGCTACAATTTCCGATGTGGAAGGGTTTAAAACCCCTCGGTGTGGGCCCCAACGGCGGTAACCAACTGCTTTCGCATCCACCCTGCCATCCCTGAGAAACTGATTTGTGTTGGCAATTAGCCAATCCTATGCTATTGGATGTTTTGAGCTGTGGTTTGCATCGCGAGCCCAAGGGTAGCTTGCATTTGACGGTCATGAGCAACATGCAACCCGGGAACAAGCTTGATATCTATTTAATACATTGGACCAGTGCGCCTGCCGGCCAGTAAGAGGATTACATCATCGGACGGAAATGCAAGGCAGAAATATGATTCATGCTTCCATAACACGCATATTCTGCAATGCATATTTCCCATAACAGCGCCGCCGAAACGTCCACGACAGCGGTGCCGAACGGCCGTTAGATTTTCTGCGGGCTCCCGGCATTGAAAGCCCTCCGGATCGGTACCCTTGGCGCCGCAGGTGAACCCGGCCTACAGGCAGGCCCCGAGGGCCACGATGGGATACAAGGGAATAATGACGTCATACCTGCCCACCTCCACTGTGAGCATAAAGTCCGTGGAGGTTACCGGACTGGCGGAGACGAACTACCAATGAAGAGGTCAAGTTGAGTGGCGGCTGGGGGAGGAGGGATTCAAGGAGGCACCGAGTTCCGCATCTTCTGCAACAATGTATCTGCCAGCGGCTGGTAATGTGAAGTGCTCGCGTGGGATGGCGGTGACCTGGTGGAGAAACATGCGTCATGTGAATTGAGTGCGGCATAGAGTTCCGCGAGCCGCATCGCGAAGACGCTGTGCGTCTGTTAGGAAGGGCTTCACGGGGGTCATGGCAGCATGGGCAAGCCGAGGTCGTCGAAGTTTGCCGCTCACCGTTTGTTCTCCAGATGTGCTGGCCTGGCCAGCAGTGGCGGTTTCCGCTCTGAATGCCCAGTGTGGAAGAATTGGGTGTTGCGTTCTCATGGCGAATAGTCTTCGAATCGAATGGCTCGAACGGAAAGATCTTTTTTTTCGGATGCTCCTCATTCCGATACCGTGTGGTCGCTGAATCTATGAGGCGTTGGATGGGCGCCCGCTCTCGTCCATGCATTCAAAGCGTTTTTTATGAATAGGTGTGACGGAAAATTGCAATATATTGTGTAGAAGTTCCGAACGTCCGCATTGGCGTGGTGTCTCTTACCTTCTTCTGAAAGACCCGTTACAGGAAGAGGAAGAGGAGATTGCTCAAGACCGGCAAAGCAGCTCACTTCGAAGTTTCTTCAACAGAACGGGGATCTTGAATGAAACAGTTGCGCGATTCACTGTTGGGTACCGTCATGTGCGCGCTCACCCCATGAGGATGAATTCATTTTACATAGTAGGAAGAATGTTCTGAATCCCTGATGTAGAAATGAAACATTGCGTGCATGCGCATTTCACTCATCCTGCTACCTAATTCGTGTGCACCGCTCGGACATTCTTAAACATAGCAAAGAGTGGTCTTCAAATTCGCATGCATCGGACCACAAATGCTCTTTTCGATTCTTCAATAGTAGGCCCTGCTCCACTTGCGCACGTGGAAAGCACAAAATCTAAACGACAACCCGCACAGCCATATTCGACCTTTCCATCCTATGAATGAACTCCTTGCACGATGGAAATCCTATAAACGAGAGACCTACCAGATCGCAGCACCGCCAAGCTTCGGCCTAAGACACACACCGTCAAGGCCATCGCATCTGCGACACTGATATGCAGAACCTCTGGCGACGCTGCTGGTCCGACTGCTGCCGATATTGGTAATCCGATACCGATATCCATACCGATACAAATCAGGGCGGGCCGACGTAAGTGCGCAGACCGCCAGTGCTCAGGCAGTGGCAGTCCGCCGCCCCAAGCACCAGGCCCATCCCCACGTTCGCGTTCGCCACGTTGAAGTACTTCACGCTGCGCACGTGCTCCCTCAGCCACCAGCGCACCATGCGCGTGGCGTGTCCCTGGCTCCTGTGGCGGGGCGACAGGTACATCCACAGGAGGCTGTCCAACGGGCGGCCGGAGTGGCTGCCTGGTCGCCATAGGCACAGCCGGCGTTGGCTCTAATCCACAATGGCGCTGCTCTGGGCTGTCTGATATGTCAGAAATATATCGCCGTAGCTATTCCTTTTCAAGGGCACAGTTGCGCATGCAACTGGATACGCGGTGCTTAGGAGCATGCCGATGAAGCGACAATAATTATGCAGCGCAATGGGTGCATTCTGAATTTCTGGCAGTTGCATCTGGTAATCTACTGATTTCAAGAATGTCGCTTGCCACTGTGACTAAGAAGCCCCATCAGGACATGTGGTTATTCCAAATGCGACACTAACGAGAGCAAATACCAGTTTCAGGGTAATGCAAGATGGTTCATCATCATCACCATCATCATCATCATCATCATCATCATCATTATTTTTTACAGAACAAGGCAATCAGGTAGCCGTCAGCTTCCTATTTTGCCTGATCAAAGCAGAGTCGGTGATCGGTTCGCTGAAATCTAAAGAGAGTTGCAAATTAAAGAAGATTCAAGATGATGCAAGATGATTCAAGTAGATAGGGTACGATCTTTGCTGCCTCGAAGACCACTCCCTGTAAGTGGCACAACTTTTGTGTCCCGTGGAGCACCTGCTCCATAGAAAATCATTCCCACCACATCACAATCTTACCATGAGTATGGAGTTGAAACAAATTTTGAAACACTCGGCAATTGCAACATAATGCAAGAGTGCTGCGTTGGCAAAAAAGGAACAGGAGAATGATAGGAATGCAGAGCTTCAGTTGCGACTGTCCAAACGGTGTCCTTGTGGCGGTGAGCAGAGATACCGTGGGCGACTACATCCTGGGTGAACGTCATGTAGCCTACACCTCGCCCGTGACACTTCAGAACGGCTGCCTTCAAATTGACGGAAGGGCTTTCGTACCGCTGACGTATGTCCTTCAGAGTGTCTGAACGGGTCAGGAAACACACATTCAGGGGCATCACACGGGGCCAAAAATCTCTCGTAAAATAGGAGTCACAGGGGACTGTGATAAAACCCGATCACAGCCACCAGCTGGGCATTGCAGTTTTTCTACGTGGCCAAACGGCACATGTCCCGCGGAACGTCAAGATACATGTCATTGTAGTTTCCTACTGTGCACGGTGCGTCAGGAAGCCAGTTCGCCGCGAATATTTCGACCTGGCTATTCCATTCAAGTTCCGGTGTAGCTCTTCAACATGGGATCTCACCGACTCGTGAATCCTCCACTCGGTGGTCAATGCATAATCGCATGAGGTCCTTGTCTGAGAGGCTTTCGCAATTCTTCATGCAGAACCTGATTGCACGCAGCCAGGACAAGTACTAGCGGCGGCGTAAAGCTCTCCTATATGGTCAACTGGATTCACCATTTCATAACTGATAGAACCCGCGTATCAGAGACGCATGGCGCGTTGGAGAAGGTGCAGCATGTGCAGACACAGCTGAACGTTTTGTTGGAATTCTTCACCAGCCTATACGCTGACCGCATATGCGCACAGTTTTGTCGCATCATTCTGTGCGCTGATACTTGGTCGCACGTACGGCATCGATCATCGCGATCACTGCTCCTGAAAATATTTGGAACGTCGCCAGAGCACAGCGCCGGTTGAGCGCTGGTGCCAAACAGCCGCAAATCAGCCGTGCCCGTGAAGCCACTGCGAAACTGGCCCCCGCCACTCACCCCGACGGAAATTCTTGCTCCTCCCTCCTGGCGTCGTCGAGAATGCGCCACAAGATGTCGTCCCTGGAGTCGCTGCTTCCGCGGCTGGCTGCATTCCGCAGCGACAAACCTCATGGGGCGATCGACGTCAGAGCAAAATGGCGCGCAGCGTTCAGTCAGATTCAGTCGCGCGCCGTCGCCCCGTCTACGATCCCGATCGAGGGCGCATCCTATCCGTCCACGAAGCAGGATGATCGAATGATCGACTGATGAAATGAATGATCAAAAGATCGACCGATGCAATGAATGATCGAAAGATCGACCGATGAAATGAATGATCGAATGATCGAATGATCGACCGATGAAGCGAATGGTCGACCGAGCGTTCCGCGTCGGAAGACCAGGCAAATCGATGCGACCGAGTGCCCAAGCGCAGAAAGAATTCGTCAGCCAACGAGCAAACACCCACGTCAGCAACGGTCTGGAGTGTTGCCAGTGACGTAGTGCCAATATCGCGACAAAACCGCTTTCGCTGGGGGCCCTCCCCTTCCCGCGCTCAGGCGCCCAACCCCACGCACCTTGCCTCCCTTTCTCCGCTTCCGCTTCCCCTTCCTCCTTCTTCCCGCCTCTGCCGCCCTTTCCCATTTTGGGGCTCTTCCCCGCCGCCGACGACCGCATTCGCTTGTCCCGCTTGGGCTCCAAGTCCTTGAACTCCATGGAATCGAACATCCTGGACTTCCTCTTGGGCTTGTCGCCCCCGCCGGCGGCGCCCAGCGACCGTCTGCCAGCCCCGGATCTGCGGCGCTCCTCCTCGTAGAAGCTCGTGCGCGAGCGCGATTTGCGGCGCAGCCTTGGCGGCTCCTCGCCCGAGCCGGTCACGGGCGCGGGGACGCTGTCCGACGCCGGCGTGGGCGCGGGGCCAGGGGCCTGCAGAAACCCGCCGACGGTGGGGCATCGAGCGGCATGGAACTCAGCGCGGTGAGCCAGAAACCTAAGGGCCGAGAACTGAAAAACTGAAGGCAGCACTGAAGCCACAAGCGCGCATGACGTCTGAGGCTGAAGCGCCAGAAACTGAAAATTTGAGAGTGCGCCGAAGACGCTCAACCCCGACAACCGGGCGGCAACCACCGCCGCAGCATTGAGCATGGTGGCGCTGAAGCCGAAGGGATGAAGACTGAAATTGAGGGAGAATTGAAAACGCAAGCGCGCATGGCGCCTGAGACGGATTTGACGCCCATAGCGCCAAGCGCGCGTCGTGGGCTCAACGATCGGGGCGGCCGATGGGCGATTTTCTTCGCGGGTGGTCGATCTGCGACGACGCGTGTGATCGTGCGACCACGCCACACGCCTAAACGGCCACGGGCTGCGCCCAACAGCGCAAGGGAGGCCGCTTTCTCCGCCAGACGTCACGATCGTCAACTCTCGCCAGGAGCGTCCCAGCACTCCCATCGATGCACGTACACTTGTCACTGGTTGTGTCATCTTGGCTTGGCTGGTTCTTGCGTCGAAACGGCTGCAGAAGGCCGGCAGCACGAGCTCAACCGGGCGATCCGTGCCGCGCCCCCCCCCCCCCATACCCATCAACGCCAAGCCAACGCCAAGCCCCCGGCTGCAGGCGTCCGCCGCGCGCGAGCGCATCCACACCTTCACGGCCTTCCCCGACGCCTGGACCGCCTGCGCCTCCTCCGCCTGCGGGTCCTCGACGAACTTCTTGGCGCCGTAGGACACGCGCCTCCTCGATCTCGTGCCCGGCCCTCCCCTCGCTCCCTTCCCGCCTTCGGCGAGCGGCGCCGGCGTCTCGGCCACCGCATCCCCGTCCGCGCCTCCCTTCATGGCGGCGCGCCGGCGACAGGGATCGACAGGTGTCCGGGTGCGCTTGCGCGGCAGGGGCAGCCGACGGCGGGCAGCGGTCGCGATGGCTGGACTGGCGCCCTGCTCCCGAAGCGAAGGGGCCGAAGGGCCCTTTCAATTTGTGGCGCCGGAAAACTATGAATGCGAGACAGATTCGGAGTTGCTGGAATTTCGAACCAAACCGGGCCGGATGCGAACGCAAGAAGGGGAGCCTTCGTGCACGCAATTGATGGATCGCGCTTTCATGTTGCAACGGAACACAGCTGCGGCTAGACGGGTGGACTTGCGTAGCAGCGTTGTAGAACACAACCCATTATGCCCATTTCAAAGTTGTCCTTTTCTCGCATGGATTGCTGGTGTGCTGGCTATCCTACTTTCGCAAATAAGCGCCAGCGTGAGTCGATCTTAATATCATGCAATGCCGCATGCATGACATCAGACCTGCAAATTTCGACCAGGACGAAGAGGCGGAGCTAGTTGGTGTCTTTCCCGTTGTTGCCTGCATAGTTGCTTAGTTCACATTGCCAGCCTTTCTGGTGCCGTTCGAGGTGCAAACGAGCCAGGACAAGAAAAGAGAATCAATGACATGTGCACACACATCGATGGCAGCCAATGCGAATTGTCCACAACATCAATGGTGTGGAAGTCGCGGCAACGTCACTATTCTTTTGGGAGTCGCGAATCCACAATCACAATGCAATATGCATATCTCTCCCTCAAGCCTCAAGTACTGGCTCACAAGCCAGTAGTCACCAGCATTTTATGTACAGCTGTCCAAGCAGTACCACCAGCAGTTAGCACAGCAATGACCGGCATCGATCATTGCGATACGTCCTGTCACGGTACGACCCACGCGGGCTGCAGGCCCAAGTCTTGGATCACTTGCACGGCGCAGTTGTGCCCAGCGCATCCAATGACGGAGCCCGCCGGATGGCATCCAGCCGATGCGGAATACAGCCCAGGGATTGGCGTGGAGTAGGGGAACCGATCGGCGAAGCCGAGGGTGTTGTCGATGTGCTGGATGTGGCCTCTCGTGATGCCGAAGTGCCTCTCGATCATGGGCGGCGTGAGGGTGAAGTCGTCGATCACCAAGTCCGAGGTGCCTGAGCCAACGAAACGCCACAGGTGCGTGGGTGCTTGTGTGCAAAATTGATTGACAAAATTGGTTCATCGGCAAGTTACGTAATATCAACAATCGATTTTGAGCACTTGTTTGCTGTTTGCGAGACGATGGGTCAAACATGGACCGAAATTGTGCAGATTGGGGATACACAGAGTTGCAATGAGAGCCCATATGGTCGATGACGGAAGTGGCCTCCATCGCCAACGGTGGGCTCTCCACGGAGAGGAACAGCTTCCTCACCACCGGCATCTTTGCATGACATAAGCACGGATTTCAGGCATCCTGCGTGGTGTCGATCCCTGCACCCAGGCGCGACCCGGTGCCGTTGCCACTCGAGTGCCCGCCATCGCCTCCAAGGCGACCGGCATTGTTTCGTGACGTGGCTGGAACGCTGCAAAAGAGGCAGGCCACTTGCCATTGCACAAACACTGTCACGCCGTTTCCGCTCTCATCAGAATGATTTCACAATGCTTTAAACGCCTTTTCAACACAACTTCCAAGACACCTTCCAATATGCCTTTTCAGGACCGCCATTGGCGCACGCATGCAGCCAAACCCACCTGGCGCGAATCGGTCACAAATGCTGAGCAGGTGCCGCACGTAGCCCTCCGCCTCGTCCTCCCAGCTCGACTCCGCCAGCTCGAACGGCACCCACTGGACGAACAGGGCGGCGCTGTGTCGGCCCTCCTTGTCGCGGAGCGACGGGTCCCTGGCGGTGTGGATGTACATCTCGATGCACGGGGAGTTGGGGAGCGTCCCGGCGGCTGCGTCGCGGTAGGCCTCTCGGAATGAGTTGATTACGTCACCCTCGTCGGGGAGCAGGTGGATCGTCGTGCCGTGGACCCGGGGGTCATCCGGGAGGCACTTGAAGCCCGGAAGGCCGGACAGCGCCAGGTTCACCTGCGAGAAAAGGCACAAAAGTCGTTGGCGCCGTGCGCAGAATTCCCCCTTTTGAACCAATTCAGAGCCGCACATTTTCGTGTCGGTTGCTGAAATGCCGCATCAGCAAATCGCCAAAAAGTATGCATTCGGGGCGGTTGCAATAGTGATTCCTGCAACGATGGGAATTGAAATGTGCGGTCCAATGATTTGCCTATTACCATACACCAGCATCGAATATGGGTACATTGAAATATTGTTTGTGTTTCTTGAGAACACACGGTGAGTCTAATTAAGAAATACGAGCACAAGGACAGGAGAAGGGAAGTCTGAGAAAAGCAACAACAAAATGGCCGCCATAAAGCTGCCGATTCAATCAACAGTGCACAAAGATACAGCCATGATGCGCGAAATACGATACTTCCATTGGAACCGCGACGTATTTGAGGGCTCCAGATCGGCGGCAAGGTTTGTGGGCGTACCTCCCCCAGGGAGTCTATGCGATTGGTTCTTCGAGTACATGCAGAACCATGCGATACGGAGTAGTCGCTTCAACGGATGTCACCTGCATTGGTGAACAGCGGTCCACCAAGCCACGACGGGAAGCCAGAAAATACGGCGATATAAGAGCCCGTACTCCGAATCGTGGGTTCATCAGCCAGCTACTGATACAATGAAAAACAATGCCCACAACGCTCAGCTTCATTCCATAGTATGGAATGGAACCGACTATTGAATCCATATGCCTCCTTCCCTCCCCGATCCACCTGCGCATGCGCAGGGCAATCGAACATGCAGTGACGCTCATCGACATGTTTGGCACCATTCGCCAGCGCCAACCGGCCCTAGTCACCGCTCCCTCTCAGGGGATCATCCCAAATCAACAACGCCGCTGCACGCCCGCAACAGCCCCTTCCATTCCTTCACCCAATCCGCCCCCACCTTCATCGAAGTGCCGTCCCTCATCATCGCATCCAGCCTCCGGTCGAACTCCGCAGGAAACCCCCCAGACGCCCGGCACATCTCCCTCAGCCGGAACGGGTCCGCGTTCACGACCACCACACTCGCCCGCACCTCCTCTCCTCCCGTCGTCACCACACCCACTGCAGAACCGTCCCTGACGACGACATGTTCTACTGGACGCCCGGTCTCTACGACCGCGCCTTGCCGCTGGGCGAAGTGCGAGAGCCGCTGGGTGACAGTTCCCATGCCGCCCTCCACGATGGCCCACGTGCCTCGGCTGTCCGGAAGCCTGCACTGGGACAGCCAGGGAGCGGTGGCGGTCAAAAGGGACCCGTTTGTGGGCTGTGGAAAGAGGGGAGAGCGGAGCGAAGGCCGAAGAGAAATGCAAACGGTCGGAGGTGTTCATTTTCGGCATTGCTTGCGCGCATCGGGTGTTTGGCCGCTTTGCTTTCCTCTTCCGATCCCAACACATTACATCACATGCAAGAGTGCAGGCGCACACTCGTGTGTTTCTTCCTCCCTTGTTGTTTGTGACCCTACATCGGTTCTTGCTGGAAAAGGCTCCTGTTGTGCTTCGCGATTTGTGGGGGAGTTCCTCTGTTCGCATCATAGTGTAATGCATTTGGAATTCAAAAAGAAAAGGATGCAGGTGCCACCTGCATGGATGGGTTTGACGCACGTACTCTTCAATGTGATGTGATAGTTTGGAATCGAAAAGAATACAGCGCCTTATCTTGCGAAGACAAGTGCATTTAAGAAAGCACGAGCCAGCCAAAGCAACGCCGCACACGCGGCTCCTCATGGCGTCAACTGGCCAGCAACTTCTTTCTCAATTTTCTATGGATTCGCCACGGAATTCTGCATCAGGGGACGTACAGTCGCAGAACACAGTAAGGAGGGCCTGGCAATCAAGGGATTGAGTACAGTGATGAATGTTTGACATCTCGAATATTGCACAACTGGACACACGAAGGTGTTTTGTTCTAAAACCTACGATATGTGCAGCAGTTCCATTCCAATCACGCCGACGCAGTTGATAATTCCTCGTCATCTTTAACGAGTCTATGGCTTGCTACCTTGGCACGACGTTGATGCTGTTTCTGTGGCCCTGCGCTGGAAACTGGAAAGCAGCCCACAGGCCCCGGTACAATTATAGAAGTAGCCCTTAGGTATCGTTAAGCACGCTGATGACGTCGCTCCAGTCGACACGTGCTGTGGACAACGTCATTGTCTCAAAGCCACCGCCTACATCGATTTGAAATGAGGCAAATAGGGAACGGATTGTTTACTAGACAGATGCAATTCACGGCGAATTGAGGACGCAAATTATGTGCTTCTTCAATGCAATACGGTGCTTTCCAACCACAGGCAAATAACTCCTACCATGTTGTGCACTAGAAAGTTAATACCCACGCCAGGGGTATCCCACGATCCGTGGACGCCGGTGAAACCATCTGTGCACGCATACATTCCCTTGACCAGCTCACTCTTGAAGCCGAATCTGTCGAGATAGTGAGCAATGGGTTCGCGGCAGAGGGACACAAACGCCTCCCTGAGGCCAGGTCTCACATATCTCTCAGCGGTCTCCTCCAACGGCATCGGTGGCCGTAGCCAGCAGGGAGCAATGTCGTCGCGAATGGCGGAGACTTCATCCTGCGGGAGCACAGCTCTCAAACGCCATGGCCTTTTCAGTGGATATGCCACCAACACAGCTTACACCTGTGAATACGGCCACCGTCCCCTCATCCTCTCCCACTACTGTTACCTAACTGCTATCCTCCTTTTTCGGTGCAAGTCGTCTCAGGGAGAGGGCATACAAGCATGCACAAGAGTGGACGCAGAAGAATCGCGAGCTCACCACGCGCCGCCCGTGGACGGCGAAAGGCTACGCCCATTGCGTTGGACGGCAACTGCAATGCAAAAAACGTCACCGTCGGCAGCGGCGGCAGAGCAAGGTCAAATAGGCTGAGGTAGGGTGAAAGCGCTGTGGATTGCCACGGCAGCCAAGCCAGTTGATGTTGCATGCGGCCACATGCATGTATGCATGGAAACGTCGGAAAGAAGTGTTGCATATCCTGGGACGTGGCTATATCCTTGCACATTCCTGTCGTACTCCAGGATATGGCGCCCATATCGTATGCGATATCCAGATATGAGGGTCATATCCTATTCTATATCCCAGGATATGCGACTTTTTCCGATGAAACACAGTGCGAGAATTTCAAAGGCAACGGCACGTCTATAACTGCTGCAACTGCAACTGTAGAGATTGATATCCAACCGACATCTGTTGCTTGTTCAGAAGGGCGTCAAGCGGCCTCCAGGGCTCAACTGACTTGCCTTGTGCTGCTGGAAGGAATTTATCTGATGCGCTTCCTTGGTGCACTGTAGGTACAGGCATGTACATACGTACGGTACAGTCCTCACGAAGGCGACATGGGTGTTATGATGCTGGCAGCGATGTGCGGAACGATGGTTGACCGTCAAGCTGCTCTACACCCGTTGGCTGCCCCAGCAGACCGCACTGAAGCTAGGTCAATGGCATTCGTTCATTACTAAGTTAAACTCACACGTCCCTGCACACCATACATATGTGTATGATCCCAGCGACACATACTACCAAACGTAAATATCCAGAACCAGCACACAAACCTGCAGTCGCTGATTAGCTTTCCAATCTTCTTGGGAGAAGAATGTCTCAAACTGCTGTTTTACTTCATTCAGGTTGGAGCTGCACAGGAGATACTTGTTTCCTGCATCAAGCCCACACGGCTGTTCACTCCATCCATCGGCACCACAGAATCTTTCTCAGGCTGAATGCCAGTTGCCAGCACAAGTTGTAAATCATGAGTCAGGAGTGATGCCAACAAGAAAAGGAATTGAACCAAGCACTGCACCAGCTTTCCTGCACTGCATGGCCCGTTGCAATGCACTGTTCAATATTGCGTCAGTTGAGGTTGATCATGTGGCGCCAGTGTTCCCATCGTGACCCAGCAATAACTACCATCAACACTTGCTGACATCGACAGGCGGCTATGGGCACTGAGGTTTGGCAAGTGCGCTTGCTTCTCTAAATTGAAAAGGCCAAGTTCACGTGCTTCAATCGGTTCAATCTTTCAGCAGCATCTCCTCAGGATGGCCGTGCATGCCATGGTACTGGCAGGCAAGAATACAGACAATCTGTTTTCTGGGATCATCGTGCCAATGTTGCATTGCCTCGCTCCTTAGAGCCTGTTGCCTGTGGACAGTAGTTGGCATGTGCATTCCCACAGCCATTCATTGTTCCTTGCATGCCCTCACCTGTGACGATACACTTTGAACTCACAGACCTTATGTGGTTGCAGTTTTTAGAATGGCATTTTGGCAGCCGCATTGTGAAGTTGATGACTCAGGTGTGCAAGGAAATGTGCCAACAGCCTGCAATCTGATGCGATACCTGTGCACCAGGCTTACTGATTGACATAGTCGCCATTTCAACAATTTCGAGAATCCACTTATATCGACTGGGCAACTGCTGGAACCAGTCTTATTTGCACATCATCTTGAGGAAGTAGACGACACATCGCCAAATGATCACTAGCTTGGGGACGTTAACTGTCAATGACAACTACGATGGATGGATGAGAAACCTGGCAAGCTGCAACCTGTCTCCAAGTATGCATTGGGTTTCATACAATCTGCAGTCAGACCCTTCCGGCTTGATCGAGGAGAATACCATCTACCGCTGAATGTGTGGAGCTATTTGAGCAGCAGGGATGTGATCCATTGGCACAAACTATATTGAATCGACATTGCCAGTAGTCCCTCGCTCAGGCACAAATGGCAAGCCTACAATGGCATTGTGCCTTCTCACCTGTTGTAGGCAGAAAATAGTGTGGGTCCCGTACAAGGACAGGGACATTAAGCTCCAGAATCTGCAAGCGAGAGAGCATACCATTAGTGATTCCTTTGGCAGCTTCGCATACATGTATCAATGGATGCCACCCACTGATCAACATACCAGCATGTCAACATGTAGCAAAAATTTACAGCCTGAGGGGTGCTAACATTGTCAAAGGCAAGTTCAGCAAAGCATCAGAGGACAATGGGAAACGGATATGCCAAAGTAGCCTGGCCTCCAAAATGGTGCATAAATCCACACATAGAGGTCTGTGTCTTCATGCCGTGCATTGAAATAGGATAAAGGCAATAGGGGGAGACGAATAGCAAGAGTGCCATCGCAACCCATGAATGACTTCACTGAGCCCTGTGGGGCCATGCATGCAATTTGCCAACACCTGCCTGCAGCAGTTCAGGAGGCATGACTCCCAGCAGATATGCTCCTGCAGCACAGTAGGGAGAAGCAACCAGATCAGCACCAGCGACAAAACAACTGGTGGTGGTGGCCATTTCTGGCATCACAATGATGCATGTCCCTGACTAGAGCCTTGACAGGTTGCACCGCTGATGAAACTGCGCTTACACTCCTCATACACATTGAGGAACAGTCCAAATGCTCCCTGGGTATTGGTGTGAGGGACACTCTGGCCCCTCCTCACCTGTGGACGCCCCAAGTCCAGGTGCTTTGGCAAAGGGGTATTCAGTTCTGCAGGCACCGCCCACAATGTCATATTGCTCAAAGACTCGAACCTGATGCCACAACACAAAATCATATGTGACGATGATTCACCCGGCTCACAACTAGGGAGACAACCTCCACTATCGGTGCAAAGTGCACTGGCAGGATGTCCACACGCCAACTCCTGTGTACTCCTGTGTACACGCAGACTGCTGCCTTTCACCAGTATGAGGCTGCAGCTGAACGAAAAAAATGTGAGGAAGAGAAAATGAAGCACATGTACAAACAGAAACTGGCTTGGTGGTGGATGTGAATAACAACTGGGACAACAGCAGGGGATCAGGACCTTGCTTCTGCAAGTGCCCCTCAATCATCACTGGGAACCACTCTTTGGTTGTGCTTTGAAAGTCGTTTGATTCATTGATCGTCAGCATTTCTTTGGCAGCACAGTTTTCATGGCCATCAACAACTCTGTTCGACCGCTTAAGATCAGTCTGGAGGGCCTCATGCGATGACCTCAATTTTTGGAACTTTTTTCAATGCATGGCTCCAAAGGTTACCATGCGCCTTTGACATTAATTCAAAGGACTCGTTTACATGCGTGGCCTGCAAAATCACTGCATCTGAGGCCCACCCCAGCTCTCTGGCTTTCGCATCAAGGCAGAAGATTCCTTCCATCGGAATTCTAGCATCCATTGCCATCTGTGCGACCTAATTCGGCACACACTGGGCCAGATCCCCATCATTGTCAACCTTTTTTGTTGGGCCCCGTTAAACTACCGAGCGGTGAACGGCCAGGCTGCAACTTCGAGCTGAGACATTTGCCAGGCACCTTATCGTTGCACCATCCCCCCCTGAATTGTGAGGGGATGATCTACATATAGCAAAGTCCAAGACAAGTTCTGCAGAACCTGTCGGTCATGCAACCAGCAGCGACAGATCTGGCTTCATGATTGGCGCCGCACCTTATACGAGCCAGCCGTGCCCATGCAAGGGTCACCCGGGCCCGTGGCGCCACCTGCCCAATCCGCCCCCTGCCATGCGCAGCAGCAGCAAACTGCAACGACTCACCTTGAGCCCCTGCTTGGCAAGCAGCCCGGCAGCCACCAGCCCGTTGTGCCCCGCACCAACGACGGCCACATCCGCCTTCGAGTCGGTGCACAGCTGACGGCTGGCGATCCGGCGGGAGCATCGCATTAGAATGGCTCTCATCGTCGATGCGCATTCGATAGCAAGCCAACCTGGATGTGCCACTCGGCACACCAGCGCAGGCAACTTCTTTCAATTTGCTGCTGGCTCCGTTGCCCCGGGTGCCGTCGACTGTACAGAGGGCGCTTGGGAAATTCTTATCACGACCATCTGTGCTGCCTGTTTGTGTCCCTGGGATCCTCACCGACCACACAAGCACGTACGGCAATTCGATCACGTGCCACATCATCACTCCAGTGCAGCCGGCGTGCAAATACCTGGTAATATGTAACGTCGTGAGCGCATGGTCACATCGCAATGTCGCAACACCGCCCCACCATAGTTTGTGGCTGCAAGGACGGGCAAAGTTGTGGGTGGCCTTCCCATTCGCCTTGTTCTGTCTCCTGGCTGTATATGCTATCATTATTGGCGCGTGTGCATGTCTTGCAATTCTGGTGGAAAACAGGGTGTTGATGATACAGGGAGCTGATGGTTGCCTCCTTGCGTTGATGTTTAGGATTTGTTGATGGAGTGAGAAGAAAAGATTGGCGACAATGTATTCATTTTTCCCACTAATGCGACAAAAATGCCACTTGGGAGAGGACCAATCTGCCTTTCTTTCGCTGCCCCCCGCCGGTGCTGCGGCCAAAAGCGCCCAACCCTTCTGCAAGAGGGACGATCGTCTCTGCAGGGCCGCCAGGAGGGGTGGAAGGGCAGGACGGAGGGCAACGGTCTCGCCGATGGACAAGCTCAGCTTCTCGTCCGACCATGTCAACTACCTCCTGCTCCGCTACCTCCAGGAATCTGGTGAGGAGCGGCGCGATGAACACCGGCGGCAGTGCGCCGGCAGCACGGGCGGCCATGCCGTTGCCTGGGTCGTTCGATGGGACCACCGCAGCGTTAGATTCTTGTCGCGGCAAGTGGACAGCGCATGCTGCAGTGGGGACTGTCCGTTTGGGCCAGTCCCAGGCGCAAGGGGATCCTGACTCCGAAACGGACTCCTGGTCCTGGCGACGGCGCCCGCCTTGCGCACGGTCCCGGGGCATTCTGAATTGATTCGCCTGGGGCGTTCTTGGCCATTGTGTGGGGGACTGGGAGTCAGCGCCAGTTGCTGTCCGTCCGCAGGTTTCAAGCACTCCTCCTTCGTCTTTTACAACGAATCCAACCAAGCAAACAGAGTGGATCTGGATCCGTCGGCGGTGCCCCCGGGGGCCCTGATCCACATACTTCAGAAGGGTTTTCAGTTCATCGAGCTTGAGGCCAACCTGACACAAGTGAGTGCCCAGCCCTTGAGCGGTAGGGATGAAAGCAGATGCGCCAAGGACAGGGCTGTGTGTGTGTGTGTGTGTGTGTGTGTGTGTGTTTTTTGCTCGTTTGCCCTTCTTTCTTGCTCCAAATATTTCCTCACGCTTAAGGCCGCAGGTGCCACAGAATGGAGGAAAGTGCAGGACAGGTACCTTGTAGAGCCCAGAATATCGACCACAAGAAACTGGGCACCGGGCACCCGGACTGTGGTTTTGGCATCAGCGCGTCGAAACGTCAAGAATGGAACCTACAGCTGTGGGAACGTGCGCAGGGAAATACGACTGCACTCACACAGCATCACAAACCTGGGACCCTTATATGTGCGTCTGTGTGTTGCAGGATGGCAATAATATGGATGGAGAGTTCTCTTTCTTGGAGTCAAAAGATCTAATAACAAAATCGATTGAGGAACTGCGAGAGACTGTGCGGGAACAGCGTGACAGCACAAGGAGGGAAAAAGATGAAAAGGACGAAAACGTCCCCACAGCCATGGAAGAAGACAAGCCTGAGATGGAGGTCTCCCCTGGACAGGTGACCACCTTGAAAGGCCACTCCGCAGAGGTGTATGTTTGTGCATGGAGCCCCACAGACTGCTTGTTAGCGTCGGGGTGAGTGGGAGCCCTCCACTCTGTGGGACTTGAATGAAATGGAATTGTTGTCCTAGCAGTGCCAGTGATGGTGTTTGCAACTGTCCTTTTGGGTGTGCAGTTGTTTGCCTGTGTGATGTGCTGGATGACATATGAGGAGGAGTGGGCTTGCATTGCTTTCTTTTCATATTGATGTTCATCTTCACTTGTGAAGTGGATAAGATGCACAAACAGAATGGGCTTGGATTGGGGTTGGGGGATCAGCCTGGCGATGCAGTGCCGCTGTCGTGTGGTCTTTTATTGTCTGGATTGTCGAGCTGATGGACGGCTTGGTTTTTGCTCATCTGTATTGCCTAATGCCTGATACACCTGGTTCTTTTGCAACATTTCAGAATCAAGATGCTGAGTGTCGTTTCTCCCTGCGGCTGTCATTGTTCATGATTAGTTGTTCATGAGTTTGTGCAGACAACATTGCCTTGTTGTGTCACTGGCTCAATGGAATGCACCAACAGTGACACAGTCAGAGGTCAATGCTTGAGAAGGGCCACAGGTGCATTAAGAAAAATCAAGGAAAGAAGACAAGAAGTACTGCCCAGAGAGGTGCAAGGGCACACACAAACACTTGAGCATGCCCATGGTGTTCACCCAGGGTCTAGTCTCCATATCCCTAATTCCCATTCCAACCACAACCGTTGAGATCATGTCAGCAACTGAGCTTCCCAACCAATCACCCTGGTGAACTGAAACATGCCAGAATCTTGCCCAATCCAGTGCCAGCCAGTCAATTGTTACCTGCTATCTACTTGTTAACCAGCCTTGCTATCTCAGGCTGTACCTGTGCCTGAGACATGGTGTAAGTACAATTGCTTGCAGGAATCGCAGAGTCTGAGCACAAAACCCAAAAAGCACTGCGATTCCTGTTCAGGCACGATTAGAGATAGGAAGTGTACACAAATGGTTGTTCTGGCTGTTGTGGCTTGGAGAGTACACAGCACAGCGTGTGTGCTCCTGTGATGGGGATGTTGCTCCTGTTCTGGTTGCCCAGGTCAGGAGACGGAACCGCTAGGCTGTGGCCCAATGCCGGCAAGGCCCAGGCAGACAGCGGGCAGGCCTGCGAGACTCCGATCGTGCTGATGCATGCCGACGGCCAGGCACCCAAAGCAGATGGCAACAAGGACGTGACGACCCTGGACTGGAGCCCTGATGGCCAGCAACTGGCGACAGGTTCATACTGTGGCCTGGTGAGAGTGTGGTCCAAGGAAGGTGAGGTAACCAGGGAATTGTATCATGCTGCTGGAGCGATGTTTGAAAAGCTCATGATACAGCATTCCTCGTGGAGAAGATGTTTGACATTGTAGGAACTCAGCATTCTTCTTGGAGAAGAAATTTGTGTGCGGTTCAGTTCTGGGCTGCTGGATAGCAGGATTATATTTCGTCGAGGGGTCTTGTGCCACATTCATTGGAGTGAGAGGCCGCCCTGATATGATCTGTCTCACTGGCCATTTAACACCTGGAATTCGCCCTGTGTGCATACCCCATGGTGCCTTTCGATGCTTTTTGTTGGGTTTGCATTTCTTTCAGCACTGCAGAGAAAACAGATCAGTTGAGTCCGCCTGAGCACCAACGCATGTTGTTGTACATTTGGACTGCAGGTACACTTGTCAAGACGCTTACCAGTCACTCCAACCCAGTGTTCGCCCTGAAGTGGAACAAGAAGGGAAGCCTGGTGTTGACTGGTAGTGTGGACCACACAGCAGTCGTCTGGGACCCCAAATTCCCAGAGCCAAAGCAGCGCTTTAACTTCCACTCAGGTGCCATAAATCTGCAGGCGACTGTGGGCGTCTGGGCAATGTTTTGTTGCAGCCCCACCCTCTTGGCATGCACTCTGTAGATACACTGTGTACAGACGATGGAACTGAAATGCACATCACTTGATGCAATCAAGCGATGTGCATGTGGCAGTTGATAGTGCCTGTATGTCCAACTGAACAGTGACAGAGTGTCCAACCAGAGACAAGGTGGGCCCTGATAACGAGGCACCAGTTGTTCCCTGGAATGCCCCCCAACTCGTGGCCAGGTGTTTCTCTGGATCATTGTCAGTGTGCCACGTACTGCCCCAATGCTATCAGCCCTGGGAAGCAACAGCAGTAGCTGACATGTCCATCGCCTTGAACGAACTTTGCATTCTGGCGTTGCTATGCTTACCTTCAGATTTTGGTAAGGTATGCCACTTGTCAAGGCTCACCAAACCTTGGATGGTATCGCTCCCTTTTGCGACAAGCTCAGAGCATCTGATGCGGTTGTTGCACTTGAATTTGGGCACCGTGATGACCATGCGACCCAAAGTTCCCGCACTCGGTGGCAAGACAACCCAGGTGCCCAACTGCGTTGAGTTTGTTTCTTTGATCTTCCACAATCACATGAACGTCATTGGCATCCGAAGCACTGCCGATTGTGAAGTGCTTGGGATGTATGCCCGCGAGTGACCAGCCAAAGCCCTGTGTCTGCACACGGAGAAGGCGGCAGCCAGTTGATGGAATGCACACGTGGGCAGGTGCCATCCTCGACGTAGACTGGCGAAACAATGTCGCCTTTGCAACTTGCTCTGGGGACAAGCTCATCCATGTGTGCAAACTCGGAGAAGACGAGCCCGTGAAGACGTTCCGAGGCCACCAGAAGGAGGTCAACACCGTGTGGTGGGGCGTGAGGAAGCTGCTTGCCTCGGGCTCGGACGACAAGACCGCCAGGATATGGTCCCTGAACCAGGACGACGCCGTGCACGTGCTGAAGGGGCACAAGAAGGAGGTGTACCAAGTGAGGTGGAGTCCCGTCACGAACCAGGCCCCACCGCCGTCCGTGGCAACGGCGTCTTTCGACATGACAGTGAAGCTGTGGGACGTGGAGAGCGGCAGGAACGTATACACCCTGTGCCAGCACACGTCCCCGGTGTACTCCGTGGCTTTCAGCCCGGATGGGCAGTACCTGGCGAGCGGGTCATTCGACGAGAAGGTCTGCATTTGGTCGGTGAGGGACGGCAGCCTGGTGCGGAGCTTCAGCGCAGAGGGAGGCGTCTTCGACCTTTGCTGGAACAAGTCCGGTGACAAAATCGCTGCCAGCTGCAACAACGCGGACGTGTACATCCTGGACTTCCGGCTGTAGGCGCATTTGTGGACGGTTCCCAGAGGCTGTTCGGTGGTGGCTCGCTTGGTGGCTGTGAAGCCTTCACCAGGCCAGCTGCTCACCGGGCGCAGTGAAAAGGAGGCCCCTGCGGCGCCGGCCGAGGGACGCCGGCGAATCTTGTCTCCATCAGCATTCAAATGAGGGTTAATGGTTGCTTGTGTGCATTGGCCGCATTCTGGAGCCAGGGCTTGCGAGTTTGGCGAATTGGAGGTTAGTGGTCTTGCAACTGTTCGGCATGTATATAGGAGTGCATGGGGGTGGTCGGGGAATTGAGAGTTTGCACCCGTGTGGCGGCTGTGTTCTCCACTCCAATTTTCAAGTGCATGTATGCTTGGAACGCTGGCTGTGTTCGTGCACCACACGCAGCCACGCCAAGAGCTCCATGCGGGAGCACCTGTTGAAGCACCGCACACGTGTGCTCTCGTCTGCGTCACTGTTTCTCCAGCAAGCGTATTGGCCCGTTGGCTGAGCAGAAAGAACCCTTTCCGAGGATGCCGCGAAACCAGTAAGCAACCGTCGCACCCCTGCCGCGAGGGCAGTCCCACGCATTCCCGGCATAGTTGGCCGTGTGCTGGGATGTGGATGACTGTTGCACGCACCACAGCTTCATCAGAGTGTCTGGCACAGGGGCCCACAAATGGCACACGCCCGGCCAGTCCTCCCACAGTGCAAAGCGAGCAGAGGCCTGACAGGTGCGGCTCTACGACGCATGAAGTGGGCACATCACCATCGCCCCACCAAATGATGTTACTGCATACAAGGTCGCTCCTGTTACCAGCCCTCCTCCCAACGCCCGCCCACCATTGCCACAACACATTTGCCCTGGGGCCTCAAGAATTCGGAAGCACCCCCCACCCCCAGCCCCAGCCCCAGCCCCACCCCCAGCCCCAGCCCCACCCCCAGCCCAGCCCCAGCCCCACCCCCAGCCCAGCCCCAGCCCCAGCCCCACCCCACCCCCCATCCCCACCTTCGAGACCCTTATTCGGATGCCTCTTTAGTACAATTCATCCACTTGTCGCACTTGCCATCGCTCCCACAAGCAAATAACCTAGTCTACATGCACCAGGTGAAGAGCTCTGTGGATTCTACCCGCTATTCTATGTGCAAGTTCTGCATTGCCATTCCCAAAATGTGCGAAAACAGGTTCAGAAAACCCCCACTCTCAAGTAGTGGCAGCGGACGTGCCACGCCACTGTCCAACCCCATGTTACAGGCCCTTCCTCTGATGCCAGCCAATCATGAAGAACAAATACCCCCACTGGCCACCCATGACATCCACAACCGGGAAGGGACAATCAGACCGGTCACTCATTTTCCATCAATCAAGCAGTTCAACAAGCCGAGCGACCATCTAAGTGTCGTCTGTTGTAGCGGCACGGGCCCACTCGACCAACTTCAAAACAGCATCACAGGTTGTGCAGTGCAGACTTCAGCCAGCAGCACCAATGAATTTCTGAGTCCATTCCCCCAGCCGGGCCGCCGGACTGCTGGGCTGCCAGCGCCCTCACCTCATACATGACTTTGGAAAAGACGGCAAACATGCCTCCACGCAATATTAACACCGATTCGCTATCATGCGTTTGACACCGAATAAATTGGTTCAGCAAGGAAAAAGATGGGCTCATCGACGCGACAATGGGTGGGCAAACACAAAATTGGTGTGCACGCCGTGGCGAAATTCATGCCCGTGCACCAGGTCCGGTCGTCTCCACGCCACACCCCCCAAAACGCGACCCCATACCAAAATCATGGAAGGAATTGAAGAAATAGCGGCTGACCATACAAGTGGTCGAAGAAAATTCTGGAGGAAGTCCCAGCGCCTTGTCCTTAGAAAAAATGCCTTGTCCTTGAGGAAAAGAACATGAAGACAAAAGTCAACGAACATCCGCATGCGCGTTGCGTTCTGTGCCAATAAAGCGGGTCCCAACGGGAGCCGGCAGCCTTGGGCGAAGCTGAACCAACGCACAGACAGCGTCACAACAATGCAAAAAGATGTGCAATGCAGACATACCACGTACGCCACAACATGTGTTTGGACAGTCCCATCGCACTCGTGTGCACTGCAACCAACAACGACATTTTTCATGCTGATTGTTTCTGAATTGCAGCGATGAGTTCTTCAAATAGTCTTCTTGCCAATCCTACCAACACAAATTCCATCCGTCACCAAAGCAAAGCACCTTGGCAATGGATGTGACAACAAAATCACTGATACAATAAGCGGCTTCAAACTCCGAGTTCAGTTTGCACAGCAATCTCATGCACTAGGGAGTTGTCGTTCAGGCAGTACACATTGCAACACCGCAGGGCTTCTTCGGGAGGAGAATTTTGGCCCGGCTTAGTTGAAACTTGCGCTCCAACGCTTTTACAGTAACAATCGAACGTTTTCGGGCGGGGTTACATTGCTGATTGTACAAGAAAGATTCGTTGCGCACTCTATGGAGCACACTTGCGGTCTGGAATGGCGAGCATGAAGAAAAGCTGTCCACTTGATACCGTGTTTTGCACTTCATGCACAAAGCCACGCTGCAATGCTTGAGCGGGCAAGGGGCATGCATATGCAGCTATTGCCGCACATTCCTTCATTGACAAAAGGTCGGCTACAATAGTCTGTCAACGTCAATTCTCTTGCGCTATTTCCATCTCGTGAACTCTGGACCCACTGCGCCCCTGCCTGTGCGTTTCCAACCGATTGGGTGCAACAAGAGAAACACGTCATGCAAAGGGTAAACCCCCTCCTGAGCACAAAGATGGTGGGACTCCGGAGACTTCTACAACATTGATAATGTTGTCGAAATGTCAAAAGTCAGGGCATAAACCACCGTGCAGCATGGTCAGCAACAAAACGTGCACATGAACTTTTGTGCATGCAGCCAAGAGCTGTCTTTGAGTGCTGCAGTATCTAATGCTGTTATCGCTCTGAAGTGGTAACGGTAAGGCAGTACATACTCTGAAGTGGTACCCCTCGAAACACGCCGTGGGCAGCACAGCGGTGACTGTAAACGGCCAAGGAGCTTGGGACAAGTTGGGCTCCTCCCACGCCCCACCACCCCAATGCAATTTTCCCCCCAAGCACCTGTTGGCACTCTTTGGCCAGTTGCGGCCCTGCTCAGCTCCTTCCAACATATTCCAACTCTTGTCTTCCTGCAACAAACTTTGTCACATTGCGGTACACCCTTGCGCTGGGATCCGGTTCCGCGCCCACTAGGACGACAGAGCGCGATCTAACGCCCCGCTCGCGCGGCTTTTTGACGTGCCTCCGTCGCTGCCACGCGGGCACCGAGCCACGTCGGCGGGTACGCCCGCCCCGATTTGTGTGCTCATCCCGACCCACTGGCGGGCGCTCGCGGACGCACGGACGCCGCCGCGCTGACCGACACCCTCCCGCCGCGTGCGGCCGTACCGCCAGCTGCGCCGACGCGCATCAGTTTGACCCTGGGCGGCGCGTCGGGCGCAACCCGGCCGGGCTGCAATTGACGGATGACTCCGCCCACTGACGCTGCCGACACGACGGCGGCAACCAGGCCCTGGGCAAGGAGGTCCAGGGGGGCCGACACCACAGGCGGCCACCGGGCCCTCGTCCCGCGCGTGGGCTCGAGGGTCCTCTCCACGCCGCCTTGTCGAGCTGTCGATCTGCGGCCGATGCCGTCGCCTGAACGTGCACCGGCAGTCGCGGAGGGCGGCCGTCCCGCCATCGCGGAAACTGCCGGCCGGCATGCGGCCCCGCCCGGCGCCCGGACCGAATCGGCGGCCCGATCCTAGGCGGCGGGACCATCTGGCGACGGAGCTTCGCTTGCCGAGGGCGACGGCGCCCCCAAGCCACCTGGGCCGGCCCCAAGCCTCCAACGGCGTCCCTCGCATGGGCGAGATCCCGGACGCATGGCGGCAGGCCACGCCGCCGCGCTCGCCCGCAGCCGGTCGGGCTGCGCCTCGCCCCGCCCTCCCGTCAGGACGCCCGGCTCGCGGATCCGCCGATGGCGTGGGGACGAGGGCGATGAAGGTGCAGTGCGCCGGCGTGAGACCCCGCCGGCTCAGCGCGGGGAACGGCCCGTCGTGCACACGGCGCCAGCGCGCGCTTCGCCAACCCACCTGTGCCGGGCCTCCGCGGTCCCGCGCTATCCGGGGCCCCTGCCCAGCAGGGCGGTCTTCTTCCTGTAGAGCTCCAGGAACGTGCCCATCTCCTTCTTCAGCGTGCCCAACTCCCGCTCCTGGCCCTCCAGCAGCGCCTTGCAGTCCGCGACCAGGCCCTTCGCGCACGCCTCCTGGAATCTGACGCACAGGCCCGTCAGCGCCCGCGCGCCGAACGTGTCGTTGCTGCCCTTCATCAAAATCAGCAGGTTGGACACCGCCTCGAAATCCGGCTGGTCTTTCACCAGGTGGGCCCGGATCTGCGTCAGGTGCTTCTCCGTGTTGGCCAGGAACAGCTCCACCACCTCGGACACGAAGTTGGGGTTGGACTCGTCCGGCAGCTGCAGGATCCGCTGGAATTGGGCGTCGAGGCAGCCCTGCTCCTCAAGCCGGAACACCAGCTGCTCGATCTGCTTGCCGACCTCGCCGGCGCCCGCCGCGTCCATGACTGGCCCGCCCCGGCGCCCGCCTGCCCGCCTGCCCGTGGGCCGCCTGCACACAGCGGTGTCGCGCGCGCTGTGGCGTCCGGGCCGCAGGCCACCCTAGCGTAGTCCACTTTCAAGGGGCGAAGGGGTCGCTGTTGGGGTGGGCGCGCGGCACAGTCAGCGACACGTCAGGGACCAACGGACATGACTGTGAGGCGTCACCGGGCGTGATGGATGCCCAAAGGGCGCCGACACGGACCCATCAAGCCGCGGACTAAACCACTTTCCGCCGCGAGTCTGAATCGGCCTGAGTTCCAGTACTTTGGGCCCGTACCGGCGGGCACATGCCGTCCTGGCTTGCTCTTGTGTGCCTTGGGGCGTCGCTGATCGTACGAGGGTGGGCTGCTGCTGTGTGAGTTTCCGCGCTCGCGTCGACCCATGAGAAAGATCAACTGGGGGGGTGGGGACCGTACCGCAAGGGCGCAGAACAAAAGCGGAGTGTGGACCGCGGGGACCGAGTTGCCAACTCGGTGGCGAACGTGATGCGAGGCAGCTTGGGGTATGCGGGGAACAACAAATTATGCGTGCACACAGGAATCGTCCCCACAGTAGCTGTGCAAGATGCGTCTCCGGGGCTGGGCGGACATAGCGAAATGCAGCGTTAGGGTAGGACCAGGGTAGGGATCGATAGGAAGGGGATTTGGAATTTGATGGAAAATGGAAGGGTGCGTCCAGCACCACAAGCCGTGCATGCACCGGTCCAGAAACCGGCAAGGTGACAATGCTCGATTTCGGATACATCTCCGAAGGCAACGGCCAGTGTTGACCTCTACTACAGCATAGTCGCCAGCATCCCTCGGTGCCCGTCGCAACACCCCCATAGGATCGCCTGGACTTTGGTAGGGCAAAATGATGTTCAAGATTCGAGGGGCTATGTTGGGCGTCGTGTCTTGGTTGGGAATTGCACATATGCTACCAACATTCTGGAGAATGACCACTTCAACCTGCTGCTAAACTGACTTGTGTCTCAAGCAGAACAGTTCCACAGGAGTGTATAAGTCTCGCACTCTAGCACAGCTCTGTGCTTTGGTTGTGATTCCACACAGGTGCTGGCATCAGTACAGCAAGTGCATCAAAGGAATCCAAGTGGCAAACAGCATGGATGGAAGTGAAATACAGCCGGCTCTTGACACTGCGCGTCAATGGTCCCATCCTGACAGTCACATTGCCCTAAGGCTGTCACTGGTGCGCCCTCAGGCAGCAGTGTCTTGGGGCTTCATTCCATAGAATGGATGCCATAACAACCAGAAACTTGACACTGGTCCCGAGCTCCACATCCCCTTTGTCCCTCTCCACCAAACTCAGCTGTTTGAATCCTTCCAATCTCTTCCCAAGGGATGTTCCTGTCCCATATGCAGTTCGCACCACCAACATTGCATCCCACAGCTGCCCCCTTGGCCCCACATGAGCAAACAAGTAGGCAGGTCAGTTCCCTGGCCAAGGGGCAACCACCAAGGAAACGACCATCTTAGGCCGCTTGTCCAGCATCATGCAGCATTGAACGGCATATCCTCCAAATCGGAGATTTGTAGCATGCTCAAAGCCAGATGCTGTTAAGCAGAAATCCCACTGCCCGGCTCCTCATTTTGGTATTGGAAGCATCCTAGTGATCTACTCAACAATGTCGTGTTCGCCCTCATCAATCTGCACAACGCAATTGTGCAGACATTAGGAAGCAAAAAACTCTCATATGTGCACACCCAAATGGCTAGCCACTTTGGTCAGGTGATGCACAACTCCATGAAATCAACCATAGTCAGTTTTTTTCACGTTGGTTTGTGCAGCACCATCAGGATTGTCGGCAATTGCTCTTCTGTGGCTACACTGCGTACTCATGCAGGTTTTAGTCCAGCCGCGGAATTCAGCTGCAGCTGCAGCCTGGGCGTTCAGCGCTTACCTCTTTTTGGACCTCCCTGGGGTCCTTGTGCTCCACAGTGCAGCCCACAGACAAGCAAGTCCCCAGGATCTCCTTGCAAGTCCCTGCAAGCGTCTTCGCGCAGCTCCTGTCCCTCATTATCCGCGCGATCTCAATCACATCGTCCAGAGACAGGTTGCCATTGTGTTTGATGTTCTTCTCCTGCAAGCGCGCACACGCAGACCACAGGTCAGAACCGGGGACAGCTCGACACGAGCCATGAGTAAGAATGCTGCCTTCGCCAATTGCTGGACCCAAATCACTCCCTCCTGGAAGCACAGGGAGCCACAGAGGGGTTTCCCGAAGAGAGAAGCAACGCAGCGGCCGCAGACACGCAACAGCACCACCGCACGGCCCCCTGGAGGGCTGACAAGCCGTTCCCAATATCGCTTGTTCCTGGGTTTCACTCCCCCAGTTGATCATCCCCCAATCCCGCCCGCGTCCTCACTCCTTCACGCCCAAGCGCGAATACCGCAGGCCCCCGCGCCGCCACACTGCCGAGCCCAGAGATGCCATCCCCCTCCAAAATCGAGCGCCCCGAGAGCCCAGACTCTGTCAGATGGGCCCATCACATTCATTTCGGGCTGCCTGTGCGACCGTTTCCCCGGCCGAGACGCCTCGCCCCGGCGGCCGAATCTTCACCTTCTTCCTGTCGCGCGGCGGCTCCTTCAGCGCCTTGATGCAGAGCGCGCCGGCCGACGGGATGACCGACACCTTGGCCTGCCTGTTCTGTACGGTCAGCTTGACGGTCACGCGCAGGCCCTTCCACTCGCCCGCGGTGGCCTTGGCGATGTCCTCGCCGATCTTCTTGGGCGCCAGTCCCAGGGGGCCGATCTTGGGCGCCAGCGAGGAGGCGGCGCCTACCTCGCCGCCCGTCGCCCTCACGTACACCTCATGGATGGTGTTGGGGTCGAACTTGGGCGGCATGGCGGCGGGGCGTAGGGGCGCGCCGCGCTATGGGGCCAGAGGCGCGGTGGTGGAGCAACCGGGGGATTGGCCCAAGGACGGCTTGGGAGAAGCAGGGCGGCGCAGGCTAGTCAAGATGCTATTTGCCCAAGGTAGAGGGCCTAATTGACGGCGTTAGGTGTGCGAAACAACAGACACACAGGCGCACACGGTGCACGCCGGTGCCCTCCATACTGGTACCAGTACCTCCGCCAGTGGAGGTTCGTATCGGTACTGCTCACGCTGGTGCACATGTCAATATTCCGATGCGCGGAGCGGCAGCTTCTGGGGTGAGTCCTGTGGGGATCGGCGGCGTGCGACTGCGGTGTGGTAATTCGGTGCCCTGCCGCCCCTGCATCCCCAGAGTCATTGCGGACCTGCGACCGGCATTTCTCTCTTGGAGGCTTCGCCGAGACGAGATATTCGCCGCTGTCTCACGGAGGCCGTTGCTGATTCCAAAGTATACAATTGCCTCAAATTTCCATGCATTGATAAATTCGCCGTCAGTTGTGCATCCGGTCACACATTTCTGGCACATGTTTGACAGGCGGTGAGTGAAGCAGCGGCGCTGCGTTTGATGCACGTCAGAAAGTTTTCACACAGGCCTCCCCAACAAGGGGATTTTTTATAGGTGGCAAAGCTGTGACACAATTCAGACTGTATCAATGCTTTGTCAGATCTTAAATCTAGCGCTGCCTGCTTGGGTAATAACGGTGAAGTTTTGGCACGATGAGCTGGACGGGAAATCACACGGGAGCATGCCCGCTATACGCATGGGCATAAGAGAGTTAAGCAATTCAAACACTGTAGAAGTCCATTGAAATTCTCGTGTTCAAAATGGTGGATGCTTGGGTTCAAATTCGAAGGATAAGTGGACAGTTTTGTGGGCGACGTTTCTGAAAATCCGAGATACACAGACAACCAACAGTGGGGAACGCTGTCAGTGCTGAGCTCCTTTCGAGTTCCAAACTTGTTGCCAAGGGTCTGAGGCCCGAGGAAATGTGTGAGCATGAGCCAAGGGCACGATGGGGCGACTGAGATGGGACCCGATCATGTGATTCGAATATCATATTCGAATCATATCGGTGCATAATGCACCGAGGGCCGATAAGGAGTGTCTCTGCAGCTCTCTGACCGTCACTAAGCGTTGCTAAAAGTTGAAAACATCACGCTAAATGCCGCAAGAGTAGAACGCTCAACTCCATCCTAATTCAATAACGAAAGCTTCTGGGTCGGCAATAATGACTCCATGAGCAGAACACGGTGGAAATGCGCATTCGCTGCCAAGCGTACATCATGAGACAACCTGAAAAGGAAGAGGAACTGTTTCTAGATGTCCTGTCTTTTGCTTGGTCTTTTCTAGCTCCATATTGAACGATTGGGACATCAGAAGAGGATTTCAAAGGGTGTAGCAGTTAGCGGTTCTGGGTAAGTAGGACCACTGCAGCTCTTGCATCGTCGATCGTGGCATCCAGCATTGCTTTTGATTCAACTGTTCTGACTGTGCAAAAAGTAAGGACCTGAGTATAGTCGTCCCGATCAGCAGACACTTGCATGAATTGTTCTACCATTGCCCCAGCTCACCATGATGGCTAAATCATGGGCAATTGAACAGTAGGACAAAATACACCCTTGCACTTGGAAAACGACGACGGGCATAGCAACAACCTCTCAATGCTTTTTCGGCATCCCGCGATCAATGTTATGAATTCTACTGGTTGCAACATCTGCGAAGCAAATTATGCAGGAAACAACAGAGTCGAAGGAAACATCTGAGCCACTAATGAAGGATGAAACTGGGATGAAATCTCCGCTGGAAGAAAGGAAGGCCAGGCAAAAAATCCAGTGCAAGCGCTCCGTAAAAAGGGACGGCTGTGAAGGGTGCGACACGTCATTTCCTGAAAAACAACACGTTAGAGGGAGGGGGTGCCTGAAGCTGAGGATGTCAAGTCCTGGAGGGCTTTGAACGAACCCAACTGAGTGCGGCACAGAGCACTCGGACGTACGCTCTTTACACACACATGAACACCAGGAAATGAAAGAGCGGTCAACTCCTCAAAGGGCCAATTTGATGAGACCCTCTCGTCAGCAGCGCCGGAAGCAACGAGCGACAATTTCCACCCCCCAACAGCGTGGCTCACGGCAGTTCGACAGAGTTTCGGCAGATCTGAAAAAACACAAAACCACAGTCGCAAAGGTGCGCACCCTCCCTCCGGCGTTCAGGCCAATTGCCCAACAAAAACCGTCTCTCACTGAATGGGCCCTGCCAAGAGATCGACACCACACCAGCCCCATGGCCACGCCTCAAACGCGCGATCCCTCACAGCTGCCAGTTGCCAGGCGCACCCCCCGCCGCCCCCTGCCGCACGTCCCTCTGGTGCTCGTCGTACCAGAAGCGCATGGCCAGCTGCAGGTCCACGCGCCCAGCGATCAGCGGCCCAACCGCCGGCAGATCGGCATGGACGTCAGCCCCGGTGGAACCCGCATCCTCGCCATCCCGGCGATCGGCTGGCGCCTCCTCCACCGCGCAGGACGGCGGTGCGGCGGCCGGGAGCTGTGGCTGGGATTGGGACCCGGGACTCGTCGGAGACGGCTCGGGGGTCGCCGATCGATCGCGGGGTTTGATCTCATCATCTTGAGGCGCGGCGATTACAGGAGGCGGGGAATTTGGCGGCGCCGGGTCCGCGCCCGGCTCGGACTGCGGGCCTGGGGAAGCGGTGGGGCGGGTGGGAGACGGAGTGGGTTCTCGCGCGGGCGCCACGCTGGCTGGTTCCGGCGGTGGGATCTGCGACGACAGCCGCGGACGTCAGGAGGGACAGCGGCGCGGGGGTCCGAGGCACAGGTTTGTGGGAAGGAACGCCTCTGGAGGGGCGATGCGCGGTGTTGGATCGCTGGAAAGGGCGCGCGGGACGCGAGGTGGGGCTGCCGCCGACGATTTCGGGAAGACCGTCATTTGCACCCCCGATCCATGAAGCTTGCGTGTCGTCTCGCCTTGCAACAAGGCTGCTCCGGGAAGCGATAGTGTTCTGGATTGCCCTGTATGCTGTGGGATGTGTCTTTCGGTAACCCTACCAGAAGCACTACGATTCGTCCAATCCATTCTGTTGATTGTCAAAATACACTGAAGGGGTATTGTTACGCTGCTAGGGATAGCGCCAGCGGTTCTGAATATTCAGTAGCTGTTCAGTTAGTGAAACCACATGGCCTCCCAGTTTTCGCCTTATCAGGAACAAATCTTTGGGAGCAGGGTAGGTTGGCTAAGTGAGAACATGTGAAGGCAAGAATTCTTTTGCCCATAGCTCCCCTTCCCCCCCTCCCCCTTACAAAATTGCAAAACTTTCAGTACTACAGCTGGCTCAGTCTGTTCAAGGAAAGTGCATGCTTTCTAAGCTCCTGGAATCTAAGAGATGTTTGTTGGTATTTTGGCCATGTCAACTGTTGCTGATCATTTTCAAGTGGGAATAGGCAGATATGGGCAACAACATATGGACAACAGTTTAACAGCAGTTCCAGAGGACTCCAGCTTGGCACCCTGCCATTTCATCGCGTCCACAGATTTTTTTGGCATCTGACCAAAGTTACTAATTGGTAGAAAGGACTTCCCAAGGTGCGAACGTACCTCTGTCTTTTGCTCTTCACACTGCCCATCCTGTGGCTGCCTCCCCTCGGTGTGCCCTTGTTTGATCTGCACAGCAGCACACCATGGATGGGGTTGAATTGCTGTCCTGCAAATGTGGCACCCTGGTTGGCAATCTGACATGGAGAAGTCTTTCACAGGGTGGGCTGGCTCTTGTGGATTTTCCTCACCTCTGCCTTTGGGTGATTTACATCAGTGCAAGGGCAGCATGAATTCTCTTCCACAGGCAGGGGTTTGTGACTAACTGGTGGGGCCCCTTGGCCATCTGTAGTCTGCAACCTGTCCTGCAGCCCTCCAGCAACATCTTCGCACACAGGTGACCCCAGTCGCTCGGCTGGGTTCTGTGGGACTCCGATGCCACCGCCACCTGCCTGGCTGTCAGGTTTCCTTGCTGCTCTTCGGGGCCCTAGCACAGATTTCCTTCCACATGGGCTCGGCTGGGAGGCCTGAGATCGCGTTTCTGGCTCAGATCCATGAACAGTGTCCACGATCTCCTCTTTACCCTCGCTATGGCCTCCCACCGAACAGCCTTGCACGCCCTCCTCACTCCCCCCCTCCTTCAAACTGCTTTTCTTATCTCCCTGAGTCTTTGGATTCACGTTCTGGCTGGCCTTGGCCGCTTGCTTGACTTGCGGCACATTGGTGGCAACCGCTTCCATAATTTTCGTTCGTTTTGCTCGCGTTTCGACAGAGCGCGGCGTCCTGGATCCCCTCCCTTGCTTCTTGCGCTGGCATTTGGTGCCTGGTTTGCCAGCTGGCTTCGGAGCGTCGCACCACCAACCATCGGGAGCTATTTTCTGCTGCAGAAAACCTACCACCTGCGGAAATCAAGATTTGCTGCTGTAATTTCGTACTTTTTGCTTCGAGTTTTTGGTCAGAACTTCAGTTTGAGTTCGCTGTCTGTTTTAGCGGAACTCTTCAAGATGTTACACTGCAGGTTGAATGATGGTGCGCAAAACGAATCAGCCAGAGCAGCTTGCAGACGTTCGCAGTTTGGCAATGCTGTCTGCTAAAAATTGCAGTCGGGAATGTGCGCTGATGGCAGGCGTTCGCAGCATTGAGGGACCTGCCGTGCGCAGGGGTCAAGCCGCGATCCACAGATTCTGGCAACGGAGCAGGGCTTTATAATTTTGGCGAATTCCGCATTGCCAGTTTTGCTGTATACGGTTTACCTCGCTGTCTCCAATATCAGAGCTGATCAGATTTGCTGTCATCCAACTGAAGGGAATGAATGTGGTTCTTTTGCGCCACCCTTGTGACAATGGCAGGGCGGCCTCAGATATGAAACAGATTCCAAATGTTCCAAATATTCCAGAATGTCGAATATGGTGTCATATGTTTCAATTAAATAAGTAACAAAGGAGGGGGGGTGGGGCGGGGATGGGCGTGGGGATGTTTATTCAGTGAAGGGGTGGGGCTGGACGAGGCTTACTTTTAAGGTATCAGGACAATCGCATTGTTTCTTGAGCACTGATGAACGCATTACATGGCCCTTGAAGTAGAAGGGCGATCATGCATTCTCCCGCACTGTCGAACAGGGTGGCAAGTCTACTGGTGTCCATGTTCAAAGTCGGTGACAAGCCGAGCCAGATGGAAGCACAATGAAGGATTGTTCCGGTGAAGGTAAACCATGGCGGAGGAGATGGTCGACGCGCAGCAATCTCTGCTATCTGCCATTGCTTTCCACAAACAGCGGATGCTGTGGGTTGGTCCTTCCTCAGCACAACCTGCTTCAATCGTGATTAGGAAAATCTCCAATGTACAATTGAATCAATTGGTAAAATGGTTATTCGCTCTACAGTTTAGATGCTTTTGTCTTCACCATTAATTGGCCTGGGTGGTGCGTTGTAGCTGAGCTTGTAGAAGGGAATGCGTGCGTTTGTGCGTATGGCAGTTACGTGGGTGACTGCAATCCAACGATGGAGTGAACCACAATCAAGTTTGATAGCTCTGTGGACATCACAATGGGTAGGGTGGGGTGGGGTAGGTGGGGCCGCCCATCGTACCGCGTGTGTTGGTGCCCAACTGTGGTGCGTTTATTGCATGTGCCAGGGTGTAAAGGGGAGCTGGGAGCGGTGGGGTGTGTTGTCCACCGAAAGGGCTGAGCACAATCTTTTCCAAGTGCCTTGGATTTTATGGTGTTCATTTGCCTATAGGCCTTTCATTCTCATTTTCTTGAACAATTGTCGGTGCAAACGGCTGCTCGTAGGTGGACGGAAATCGCACAAACACAGGAAGCAAATCGCTGTGACATGGAGCAATGCACGTCATCGACTTGCGCATGAACGGTGTTTCGCCGTGCCGCACCATTGACTTTAAAAGGGGATTTCATTATCCTTTCATGTAATTCACAGAGACGATGGTCCACTACAGGTGAACACTGGAGTTACGCTATCCCATGCAAACGCCTCTGTATGTCCTGCAAGCAAAAGATAGAAAGCCGGCACAAGGACCTCCTACATCACCTGCACGATGTGAAGACAATTTCTCTCTCCAAAGACGAACGTCATACTTGCGCAAACGCCGTGCACCGGCATCAACTAGACAGGCATCAACTAGACACCATCTAGAGGCACAGTGTACCAATTATTGGAAGCGACAGCTCCTTTGGGGTGCAACCCGCACCTGATCCATGGAATCCCGGAATGCCTTTTTCCTGGGGGCCCTGAGGTGCAGCCCATTCGCCGTTCCATCCTTCCAGCTGCACATCTGCTTGACGGGCACGCGCGCGACTTGAGAGCCGCCAAAGAACATCAGCGTGGTGGTTTCATTGGACCCGCGCTGCGGCTTGACGGGTTGCAGACCGCGCTCCACAGCTACCGCCTCGGATATCCTCTGCGCCTGCGCAATGATTCCCGTCCGCCCGAAGCGTCAACCGCACCGCAGAGTCATTTCGTGCACGCTGCACCGTATGCACGGGAGCGCGCCCGCCGCAAAAGGCGCCAGCACGCAACCGTTCTTCGGCTCTCATTGACGTTTTGGTGCTCTGACTGGTCCGCGGGCCCTCGGGCTTGGCGCCCGAGCAGCAAAAGGCGGCGACTACCTGCGCGTCTTTGTCAGGGAGAGAAAGCGTCCAGGCGGCGAGGGGGCGCTCACCGGCCACCAGGGGTGCCCCTTGATCTTTCCCCACACCACCTCGGACGCACTGGCCGCGCCCGCTAGGGCGGGATAGTCCTCGGAGGCCATCAGGACAATGGGAAGGGGACGCAGTGGCGGCGACCGGTGGACGGGGGCCAGGGGACAGAAATAGCATTGCCCAGGCGACGAATAACTGGCAGACGGACAGCGGGATATCCAGTGATGCCTCTCCTGGTTGAAGAAGGAAAAAATATCATTTTGGGGCAGGGCGTATTCTTTAAGCGATCGACAATTGCTGCTTATTCGCGCGAGGGTGCATCCGTCAGCTTCCCGTTCTGCCCGAAAATGTACTGTAGTAAGTATGCATGATAGGAAAGCAAGTTATCGCGGCAATAGCACAAAGAATTGACCAGTTCCTAAATTTCTTGGAGATGCGTTTTTCAGATAATGGGGCAGACAATTCCATTCTTGAACAGGTTCCTTGACAAAAAAAATTGAAGCCTATGATTTGATGTATGGTGTCAGAGGTAGCGAGGCCAGTCGTCCGCTGCATTTGGCCTAGATGCGTCTCTAGACATAAGCCTATAAAACAACGGACCAGATGCTACCCAGTGACAAAATTCTGCCCATGTTCCGCGGTTTTCCTGCCGGTCTAGAATGTGGTCGAGCTCCGACACTTCCAACCGCACCCTGGTCAGTGATACAATAATGAATAGCGTGAGCAATGAGGGCAACAACAGCGATAGCAGCGACAATAGCAGTGACAGCGATAATACCAAGTCCCTAAACTAAACTAAATCAAGCAAATTTATTCCATCTTCAAAAACTAAAGATCGTGCAGAGGTAGAACAAAATGCCCGACATTTGGAACCAGATCGCGGTATGAGAGTCATTGTTTAAAGCAATCCTACGCCAGCGGACCATCCCCAAGGACACGAATTCCTCTACTCTCTGATGCAACCATGCTCGAGCGCCAGGCCCCAATGGGCACAACACTTGACACTCCTCTACATTACATAGGAAACTGTCGATACAAAGCAAATTGTCTTGTCAATGGTGTTGCCGATTGGCGCGTCATCGGCAGCTCGCTCCAGTCACCACTTGTGCATCAACCAAATTCAGAAAAAGTGCAAGCACCACAATCTCCTTTCAGATTCGGTGGCTTCTTCAACAGATGATTGCAAGACCAATATGTATGCAAGACCGATATATATGTGATGATGATTTGAACTTGGCTTTGAGGAAAATCGGTTGGCACAATCATGCATTCCAAAAATTGCACGGACGTCCACACTGCCAAAACGCAACGGTCGCGTGCCCCAATTCTGGATCTGTGAGCTCGACACTAGAATTATTTGCTGGCTGCCGCTCAGAGGCCGCCTCGAAACATCAGTAGGTGCGTTGCGTCTCGCCGCGCTCCTCCTTTGCAGAGAGCCCCTCGTCGCAACAACTCGCCCATCAGGCACTTCTTACGATATTCTTCTCAATGCCGTCTATGTACCCTCCCGTCCCCTCCGCCCTGAGCTGGTGGTCGTACACAAAATCCGGCTGGAAATCCCAGTCAATGTCAATGATATCTCGGAGCCGTGTCCACAGGTCGGGGTTCCTCATCAGCACCTGGTCGTCGCCCGCCAAGTACCACCACCTGCCCACGTGGTCATAGGCCCGCCACCACGCCGGCACCTTACTCACCACGTCCTCCCGGTTCTGGAACCGGTGCGCCAACGCCCTGCCCGCGGGCGCCAGCGCCTCGAACCGCTTCTTGAACCGCGGGCCGGCCACTCTGGGCGAGCCAAAGGTGTAGTGCCCCGCCACCTTGTCCCTCAGCTCCGGGTCCTCCAGCATGTAGGCGGCCGCAAGGGTGGCCAGAGCCCCGCCCAGGCTGTGCCCGGTCACGTAAATAGCCAACCCCTCCTCCTTCCCGTACTGCCTCTCCAGGTCGCGAACGCCCTGCAGCACCGAATCAATGATCGACCGCCCCTTCCACTTTCCCTGGACGCCCTCGAGGAATCCCGCGTGGGCTTCGCATCCCAGGGGCCCGTCGGGCAGCTTCCACACCTTGAGGTCGCGCACCCAGTCCGTGATGCTCGTCGTGCCGCGGAAGGCCACGACGATGAAGTCGGGCCCCGCGGCCGCGAAGCACTGCGTGTCCGGTCCGTCGTTGTCGCCGTAGCCGTAGCACAGCAGGCCCTTCAGGCCCCAGCGCCCCTCCGCAATGGACCTCACCTCGTCCTGGGTCAAGTACGACAGCTCGCAGGCGTGGGCCAGCGACCACGCGTTGCCCAGGTGGAGCTCCGAGTTGGGGGGCCGCGCCACGAAGCCCTCGAAGGGCGTCTTTGGAACTGCGGCATTGGCGCGGAGTGGATGTTGAGCCACAACCAATGCGCTTCAGCGCAACGCACCTCAGCGGAACGCTCTTCAACGCAAGCGAGGAGATTTGGAGGGCACTCGGTCGAATGGCGAATTGCCGACCGGCGGACATGGGAGGCTCTGGCGATGGGGTGGATTGGACTGGCGCGCTCGACTCACCTTGGCCGCAGCGTATTGGGGGGCAGTGGGCCCGCCGGGGAGTGGGCGGCGTGCGCACGTGCGGCAGGTGCGGCTGGAGGGCGGCGGGCCGGCGCAGGGCCTTGCCCCAGGCGGTGCTGCTCCCGTGGCTGAGGGATCCCGGCTTCATGGTCGCGACTGCGAGCGCGAGCGCAGTCGGTGGCAGCACCGACGCCGCGGCAGGTCCAGCCCAGCAAGCCTCCGCGGCATCTTGTGCTCGTTGGGTGACGGGCAGCGCTGGATGAGATCGTGGCATATCTCAGGAGTGACCAATCGTTGCTTTTTGTACGATGTTTGTATGTTGTTAGTACTGAGGGAAGCCGCAGAAGTGAGCTCCTGTGGGGACTGCAGCAGATCGCCGGCGGACGTACGAGGCCCTGCATCCTGAGAACGAATTGCAGGGAATTGAGTACTGCCTTTGGGGTTGCAGTGGGCATAAAATTACTGGCTGCACCAAATCGGTGACTTTTTGCACCAAGTCACGTGCACATCATGTCCAACTCCGTCCAAACTAACCTAACCTAAAACCTAAACCCTAAAACCTAAACCTAAACATAAACCTGTCCTAACCCTAACCCTAACCCTAAAACTCACCCTGAAACTAAACCTAGCCCTAAAATTGAGGTGAGGACAAAGTGTCACGTGACTTGGTGCAAGCAGTCACCGATTTGGTGCAGGCAGTAATATTATTTCGTTGCAGTGTATCCACCTCTGGAAGCACGAAAGGCAGGACACGCCTCACTCACAAGAGAAGTGTATTGTTCGGGTCGCCAATTAATGGGGTTCATCAAAAACGTTAGTGCATAAATGATATCACGCAGCTGGCGACCCGTGAGGTCCAGATTTGGTGCAGAGGGGATGTCGACAGCCTCAACACCTTCGCCATACTGAAAATCGTCCAGTAGGCTGGCGCTCAATGAGGCAGAAACCCCCAAACATCAATCAGGGGTGCTCTATACATACCCCAAATACGCCCTGGAGTCCTAAGGAACACCCAGGTTGCCACTGGACATGTGCGTTTGTTCAGGGGCAGCCCGCCTGGCGGCCAGCCGTGAATCGTGGCGAGACGGATCCAGGAGTGGCGCGTGGAGGCGCCACATGGTTGTTTGATGGGAATATGCCCCGGGGGGCATTACATGGTTGCTGACCACGGGAAGTGTGGTTGTTTGGTGAGAATGTGGCCTTTGGGGCACACGTGGTGGCTGATTGTGGCCAGTGGGGCGTCCTGGGTTGAGGTGTGGTGAAGCGGCGGGCGTGTCAAAAAGATTCTGGGTATCAAAAGAGCATCTCTTAGGCATGGGTGGTACTTTTGCCGGAGGGGTGCGGACAGCACGAAGGGGAACTCTGAATTGTAACAGCGTTTGCGTGGGGTCCATGTGTGTCTCGCGCGGCGGTTTAGGCGCTCGGCCTGGCTGCCTGACTCCCCTGGCCCTATGTGCGATGTTCGCCACAGCCTGAGCGCAATAGCGCTCGACCTTTTCGAAGGTCACGGCCAGTTTGTGCCCTTTCTGAGCTGCTTTCCTTGCCGCTCAAGACCAGCAGTGCCAGCGCGGTTTTGCTGCAGAAGCGACCACCCTTCGTCGCTGCACAGCCTTGTCGAGGCGGACTGAAGTGCTTCCCGTATCATACGCCGACGTGCAGTGGACGAGGCAGCCCTGACCCGCGGACCCGACCTCCGTTTTGACTTCGTCGACCGTTGAGGAGCGGTTGCGACCGATTGCGGCGCTCAGAGCAGCAGCTGTGAGAGGCGCTACAAGCGTACTTGCATGGCTGGCTGGCAGTTGGGGGTTTCGCTACCCGTTTGAAGCCTCTCCTTGCCGTCGCCTCAATTTTGTTGGTCGTGTCGGCATGCCAAGCAGTTCTTCGTGAAGCGCCGGCTCGCGCGAGGGGCGAAGCTTGTTCGTTGAGTGCACCCTCAACTGCTGTGGTGCTGAGGCTGTCGACATGTCTCAGCTGCCCGTTTGAGGGTGGTGTTACTGCGCTATCTCCGGGGACGACGGCCAGAATGGACCGCCGTTCTTTGCAGTATACAGTTCAGTTATGTTTGGTGTTCTCTGCGACAAAACTGCCTCGTTGCTCGGGCAATTGATTTTGTCAGGGCGGTTCCTTAAGGCCCTCATCCCGAGCCGAAGGGGGGATATAACCATGCCCGAACTGCGTGTGTCAGCAACTTCGCAGGAACAGGCAGTTGGTGCCCGAAAAAGCGAAGGTGTGTCAAACTGTGTTGGTGGGGATTTAGTCGATTCAATCGACGACCAACGATGGGGACGGTCGTTTGCCGTTCCGTTCGAAGTGGCAACAGGGTAACATTCAAGCAGCAGATTGAGGCCAAATGAAACGGCACACAGCTGTTTTATGTCGGGAGCTCGGGTCGTCGAAACCATCGTATGACCCAGGGACACCAGCCAGGCAACAAGAGGGCAAAGCAATTGTTGACGCACTTGAATCGAAGATTCTTAAATGCGTGTGTTCACATGGCAATCAGGACCGGTCCCTTTCCCCAGAGTTCCTCGTCAGTGTCAAGGTCAACAACTCTCCCACCAAAGAATAGACGCTTCCGAAAGAAATTGGATCCAGAATTCATTCATTCAATTGCAGAGTTTTCTTATTCTGCCGGCGCCCACGAACGGGGCGCGCGGCATGACCTTGGGAACCGACACTCCCACTCCCCCTTCCCGCTATTGCGTGTGTTAAGACTCTCTCACTTGCGACTCGGCGCTCGGGGGCCACTTGACCGGCATGTGGCCAAGGGCCCGCGGCGTCACGAGTGACAGCGAAAGGTTACCAGTAGGTGTACCTGTCGATCCAGCCGCCTGGGTTGGCGCGCATGATGCTCTTCCTGATCTCGTCGTACACGAAGATCAGGATGGACCAAGGCACGCCAGGGAACCAGTGCAGCACGTGGATCGGGCGCGTGCCGAACACCAGGTTGAGCGGCGGCACGTAGCACAGGATCATGGCCAGCACCGTCTCGAAGCAGATGCCGAAGTTCATGAACTTGTTGGCCAGTCCCTGGGTGAAGATCGACAGCTTCCTGGTCTTGGCGATCAGCAGGTCGGCCCACTGCACGACGACGATGGACACGAAGTAGGACGTCTGGGCGTGCTGCAGCGCGTTCTTCTGGTACTTGACGTTGGCCCACAGCTGCTGCTCGCCGTTCCACCAGTAGAAGGAGCCCGGCCGCGCCTTGTTCTCGCGGTTCTCGTAAGCTTCGCCGCGCCCGGGGAAGCCGTACAGGTCGGCATTGTCACCACTGCAGTACAGATCGAACAGAGCCTCGTCCTCCTCGGTGAGGATGAACCGCAGAGCGTTGCTCTCGTCGCCACGGGCGTCACGGTAAGCCTGGCCGTCGTCGGTGCCGTTGATCCTGTTGAACCAAGCGCACGTCCGCCCGCACACGGCCTCCTTGCCGGCGCCGAAGCCGCGGAATCCCTGGGAGGTCATCTCGGAGAAGGGGTCGTGGGTGCCGTCAAAGGGGACGGGGCAGCCCTTCTCGCAGTACTTGAGGTCGTCCCTGTCGTACAGCTCGCCCTTGGGCTCGCCGCAGCCGTAGCCGCACTGCTCGGGCCTGTGGTGCTGGTTGAGGTCGCACAGGACCGAGTCCTCCTCCCAGGACAGGCCGCAGCCCATCAGGATGCGCGGCACGTAGCCGTAGTCGTTCAGCACCACCATGTAGGTGAAGAAGCCGCCCAGGGCCTGCATCACGCCGATCTGGAGGTAGGCGAAGGAGATCAGGCGGGAGTTGACGAGGCGGTCAGTGGCGGCGTTGCGGGGGGGCCTGTCCATGATGTCGGCCTCCTTCACTTCGTAGGCCAGCGAGATGGCGGGCACCATGTCCGTTCCCAGATCGACGCACAGAATCAGCACGGTTGACAGGGGCAGGGGGATGTTGATGGTGATGAAGCACAGGAAGGGCGCGATCTCGGGGATGTTGGACGTCAGCGTGTAGGCGATCGACTTCTTGAGGTTGTCGAAGATCAGGCGGCCCTCCTCCACGCCATTGACGATCGAGGCGAAGTTGTCGTCCATGAGGATCATGTCGGCGGCCTCCTTGGAGACGTCCTTGCCGGCGATGCCCATGGCCACGCCGATGTCTCCCTTCTTCAGAGCTGGGGCGTCGTTCACGCCGTCGCCGGTGACGGCCACCACGTCTCCGCGGCGCTGGGCGTTCTCGACGATCAGCAGCTTGTGCGCGGGGGACACGCGGGCCCAGACGATCTGCTCGTGGCTCAGGGCGGCGTCCCACTTGGCCTGGCGCTCCTCGGAGTCGCTGATCTCCATCCAGCCGCGGATGTCGTCGCCCTTCACCACGGTGGCGCGGCCGGCGTCCCAGTGCTCCTGGTCTATGATGCCGACCTGCAGTAGGGCACGCCGAACGTCAGCGCACACGGAACGCAAAACACCAAACAGGACAAGAACACACGCAGCGACTGGCCCAACGCAGCGACTGGTCCGCCCACGCACGCGCCCAGAGCTGGACTCCCATATCAAACCACGTATACCACATTACCAGCTGAAGCAAAGGAGAGCGAAGGTAAGCGATGCAAAGCAATGCAAGCAAAAGGACTCGACCACACAGACTTCCATGCCGGCCAGGTCCCGGATGAATGTGTCTCACCTGCTTGGCGATAGCCTGGGCAGTGATGGGGTGGTCACCCGTGACCATGAAGACCTTGATGCGGGCGCGCTTGCACTTGGCGACGGCCTCGGGCACACCCTCGCGAGGTGGGTCGATGAGCGAGAGCAGGCCCACGAAGGTTAGGTCGTCCATCTTGAAGTTGACCTCGGGCTTGGACTTGAACTCGAAGTCCAGGGGGTACTCGGTCAAGTTCTTGAAGGCGAAGCCCAGCACGCGCTCGCCCAGGCCACCCAGGGACTCGTACGCCTCAGTGTACCTCTGCTCCCACTCCGGGGTCAGCGCCACCTCCTCGCCCTGGACCATGATCTTGGTGCACATCCTCAGCACGCGCTCGGGGGCACCTTTGAGCGCGATCATGGGCATGCCCGTGAACTCGGACTTGTTGATAGTCAGGGCCCACTTGTTCTGCGAGTTGAACTTGATCTCGAACAGCTTGGGGTTGGCGGCCCTGTGCTCCTCCACGTCCCTGTGCAGCTGCAGCGCCTTGATGATACCAGCCTCGGAGGCGTCAGAGGTGCACTGCAGGCCCAGCAGGTTGAAGTCGGTCCTCAGGACGTCCTCCGCCAGGTTGACCGCCTTGGAGTCACTGTCGCCCGCGGTCACGAACTTGGAGTTGTTGCAGGTGGCGCCCACCATGTGGAGGTGCTTCCAGGTGACGTCTGACGTCTTGATGACGGCCTCGGAGCCGCCGGTCGTGTTCATGGCCGCGTCCAGCTGTGGCTTGTTCCTGGCGGCGGGCACGCGCCAGATCTTGCCGTCGTACCAGGCGTGCTGCACGGTCATGCGGTTCTGCGTAAGGGTGCCGGTCTTGTCGGAGGCGATCACGCTGGTGGAGCCCAGGGTCTCCACGGCCTCCAGGTTCTTGACCAGCACGTTCTTGGAGTGCATCCGCTTGGCGGTCAGGGCGAGGGAGACGGTCACGGTGGCCAGCAGCCCCTCCGGCACGTTGGCGACGATGATGCCGATGGTGAACACCACGTTGGAGATGATGTCCGTGCCCAGGACGAAGCCGATGATGAAGAAGCTCACGCCCAAGAAGATGGCCACACAGGAGATGAGGAAGATGAACTTCTTGATCTCCTTGTTGATGGGCGTGGACTCGGCGGAGGTTTCTGTGGCCAGACCGGCGATCTGTCCCATGACGGTGCGGTCGCCCGTGCCCACGACGACCGCGCGCGCGGAGCCGCAGACGACGATGGTGGAGAAGAAGGCAAGGTTGGTCGCCTCGATGGCGGGCGTGGGCCTCTCGTTGCCCTGGTCATCCTTGGAGGTCTTGACGCAGTCCACGATGCGGTCCTGAGGCTCGGATTCTCCCGTGAGCGAGGAGTTGTCGACCTTGACTTCCGTGGCCTGGACCAGGCGGATGTCCGCGGGCACCTGGTCACCGTCGGCGACGTCGACGACGTCGCCGGGCACGAGCTCGGAGGAGTCCAGGATGGCGTGCGCCCCGTCGCGCAGGACCTTGCACTTCTTGGGCACCATGTTCTTGAAGCCCTCCATGATCTTCTCGGACTTGGACTCCTGCAGGTAGGAGAACGTCGCGGTGACGAGCACCACGGCCCAGAGGACGACGCCCAGGTACAGGTTGGTCTGGTCGCTCTGGTCGATGCCGTAGCCGATGAAGCACAGCAGGCCGCCGAAGATGAGCAGCAGCGCGAAGAAGTTGGTGAACTGCTCGAGGAACTTGAGCCACCATGGCTTCTGCGGAGGCGGCGTCAGGGCGTTGCGCCCGAACTGCTGCCTCTGCTGGATGACCTGGTTGCTGCTCAGGCCCTTGTTGAGGTCCACATTGAAGTGCTTGCACAGCTTGTCGATGTCCCACAGGTGCTCGGTGATGCCGATCTCCTGGCGGAGCTCCTCGGCCCTCTTGCTCGACTTGTTGGACTTGGACTTCTTGTCCGGCATGGTTGCTGTCAGTCCAGCCAGCACAGCACGGGCTCAGCACGGTGATTTACCTCCACACATCGGCACAAAGCGGCAGGCAGACGCACGCATCGACGGCATCCTCATCCAAGGTTTCGTCCCGCCTGACGCGACTCGGTCCAATAGTTCCAGTCAAACATACCACTGACAGCGACCACCCGCACCCGCGAAGTCGCGCCAATCAGTTCATCAAGACACCACACAGGCGCCGACCATCGCCCGCCCAATCAAGAAGACTCCTAGCATCGCGACCCGCCGCACAACGAAGAGTCCCCACACAGCCATCAACGCGTAGCAAATCTGGCGCCAGCAAATCTGGCGCCCGCACGCCCAAGGAGTCGTATGCTCAACCCGTCGCGCACTCCCAGAACTAGCATCGCACGTCGTCAGCCAATCAACCAGCCGATTGTCTGATGCCGCAGCCCAACAGCTCCCGCCACCCAATCAAACGCGCCCGCAGTTGATTAGCGCAGCGCCGGGCCCGGAGTCCAATGAGATCTGCAGATTGGGTCCGGGGCCAAGGGGTACATCGACAGCGACGCCAGGACAAGGCAGCGCGCCTCACCTGTCCCACGCTGCGAGCACGCAGCGTCGGCCGCCCGCGGAAGGGGCACTGGCCTGCCGAAGGCAGGCACGGAGGGTGCGCCCTGTGGCAGGCGCGCGGCGACGGGGTCTCGCAAGGGGCGAGACGGTGAGCCAAAGTGCAAAATTGCGACAGGGTCCACTCTTATGGGGGGCCTGGCCAGGGGGGGTAACATCGGCCCGGGACTCACCTCGGCCGTTTCCGGTCTCCCATGTCGGGCTCAGCGCGGCTCATCGCCCTCCGATCGGGAATCACGGCCCTTGACAGCCCCCGCTCCCCAACCAGGGGCTGAGGATTGGCCTGTGATTGGTTCCTCCGAGGTTTCGTGGGCCACCCAAAGGGCGTACCGACGTTTGCCGGACACAGGCAGGGGGACGTTGTAGTGGAGTGAAGCCGTTGACAGGAGCCAACCGGATCCTGGCGACAGCTGGCCTCCGCCTATTCACTGTCCGGCACCCACCGTGGCGCAAGTTGCGTCATTTCGAGGCACGATTGGATGCAGCTGAGCCGTGAGAATGCGGTGGTGTGTCCAAAGTGCGTGCTTTTTGGAGGTCGCGAGGCTGCGCGACCTGCCAAGGCCACACCCCTGCGGCAACCTTCCCCGCGATGGCGCAGAAGGAGTGCTATCTGTTGCGGCCGGGCGAGAGAGTACCAGGCCCAACTCAGAGTTGGTTGAGCACAAAGAAGCCACATCACGAGAGTACAGTCGCGTGTTGGTTTTGATGTACAAACAAACGCAAATAACGATAGCCAACTACCCCAGACGCACCCACAGATCCCATTGGCAATAATCTATCCTGAATTCCGGCATGGGCAGTGCCACTGCTCAATCGCAAACAGGGTTGCAGGAAATTTGAATGCCCCACACCCTCTCTGGGCCCTGACGTGGTCCTCGTTTACCAAAACTTGATTTCGTGTGCCCACCAGACTGACTCAGGTTCTTAGTGACTCAATCTTCTGTGAAGACACATGCGAATAGATGAAAAGGCCGATGAGTGCATCAAAAACAAGGAATCAAATGATCTCCCAAGGATATTGTCCCTGAACCACAACACTGGACCAAAGACGTTTGGTAATGAGCTACATTCCACGAACACCTGCCAAACTGCTGCCAGCTTCCTGAGAGTGCAAAACCCAATATCTGGACAGAAATCTTGTGTGGGACCTTCGTCTTGTCTAATTGATGCATCGAATGCGCGCCCCAAGGCACCACAGCACATTACAAATCAACGCGACGTGTAGATTCACCACTGAAGATGTTTGTCCAGATCCAATGTCATCAGTCTTTTGCAGCCACCATCAACACAATACCAGAATTCACTGCCTTCACTCACGATTCTGCTCCGCAAAATCGCAATCCTCTGTCAGCACCCAATGGACAGGCAATCGACGCTCTCTCTCCAATGTTGCCTTCCTTCCGGCATCCCAAGGTTTCTTCTTGAGCTTTCTGTCGTCCAGGAACATTGCCAGGGCGGCATCTCGGGAAAGCGAACGTTTACCCCCTTAACCGACGCTTGGAAATCTAGTTTCTCCTGCACCGGTCCGTCATGGTGGCCATGCGTGCGTTGGCGACCAGCCCGATGCTGGACATTCCACTGGGCGCGGACTTCAACAAACCGCAATGTGCAGGCCTTCTACTTTGGTGACCTGTTCGCAACACCGCATAATGACCACCGTTTCACTGGGTGGATCACTTATGCATTATGGTGTGCGACTTGTATGCACGTCAAGAATATGGTTTCTATGCAAGGCATTCTGAATCTATAAAAAGAAAAGAAAATGTGTTTTAGGATTCAAAGAATTATTGTGGCGATGAGTGGGTATCTTTGAAATGTCGTATGGCTGGTTGGTGATGGATGATGGTCCTTGTCACGTGAAAAGGAAAGTTCTGTAGGTGCAAGGTAATTCGAACTGTTCGGTTGCGGGGGTCGTTGCCACCGTCGGGAAGGCGCTTCGTTGTGGGAAGGGTGAACAAATATGTAAGCCCTGGGCGTATTGTGTGTGGTGGGACCTTGCGTCTGGCCGTGTGCCAAGGCCGTTGAAGCATCGGCGATCGTGGATTCGCGCTTCCCGTGTGCACTCCAAAGGGAGCCGTTTGAATCGCATCAA